GCGAACTGCCTCCTGTCAGACATCCATAAAATACATACTATCTATATATTTGCATGCTGGAGCTTCCTGCCTTGGGTATGTGCTTTGCCTGCTGTCTGGGTTGCCAAAGCTGATTTTGTAAAGCCCTATCACAGAGACCAAGATTTTACCTCAAATCTAACTTTTTTTCCTCTCCCTTTTCCTATTCCATCTCAGACCAGGGGTGTAAAACAGTTGCTATTCCGGCGCCCAGGGATCGGGCAATTCACCCTGACAATACCATATCATACCAGCATAAGTGACAAACATGAATGCGATTATTGGGCATTCGTAGGTTTGTGCTTTGCATCTAGCACTGATGATGAAACCACGCTAGATTGGAAAGTCCGTAAATAAATTATTCCACCACCATACCCAGATGCCATAGGCAAACTGTCACATCTTTACATGTACCAGAAAACCAAGCCAAATTACTACATCAGCTACACAAAACACGGGCCAAGTATACACCCGGACCAAACATGACGCTTCCCCGCCGTTCCGTGATGCAAACCGGCAGAAATGTCCACCAACTGTTGGGAGCTCTAGGGTAGCCGATATGGAAGCTCAGCTCTGGCGCAACATGAGCTTGAGGTGCGGGGCAAGCAATTCGCACCTCCTCTCACCCTGTAGCTTTTAGCTCAGTAGGTTACCGTAGCAGAGGACCCAGTAGAATAGGCCCATTGTCAACAAAGGCTCTCGCCAAAAGATTCGGTTACCACCACCACTTCTCCTTCAAGTTTCTTCCTCTCCTCGTCACAACCTCTCCTTCCTCCCCCACACCGACCCTCTCGAGACCGCAATTCCATCATGGCGGCTGACATTGGTCATATCTCTCAGTTGCTGAATGCAACGCTCGATCCAGCTCAACACAGAAAAGGTTTCGTGCCATCCTCCCCGCTGGTCAATGTTGTCTTGATTCTGCAGACAGCCAGCTAACTAGCCGTGACAGCTGAATCGTCCCTGAAGCAAGAAGCGACCAAACCACAATACTCGCTGACTCTGCTCAACATTGTCAACTCCACTAGTCTTCCGCCCAACACTCGTCTCGCGGCAGCTCTTGCGTTCAAGAATTTTATCCGTACAAACTATGTGGTATGCTTGGCTCACGGACCAGAGAGGTAGCGATACCCATATTGTCCTTCGCTAACCGCTCCGACACACAGGACGAGGAGGGAAACTACAAGCTTCCACAGGACGAAGTAAACACAATTAAAGAGCAGCTCATCGGGCTGATGATTAGTTCTCCACCCAATGTCCAGACACAATTAGGCGAAGCTATCAGCGTGATTGCCGATTCGGATTTCTGGCGAAGATGGGACACACTCACTCAGGTAGGCACCAAATAATACCGCCAAAGCCATAACCCCCAACCTGGCTTACATTTATTGTTTGCAGCAACTCGTTAGCCGATTTTCTACGACCGATCCCAAGGTGAACATTGGTGTTCTCGAAGTTGCACACTCCATTTTCGCCAGGTGGAAGCCGCTTTTCCGTACGGACGAACTGTATATGGAAATCAACCACGTTATCGAGACATTCGGACAACCCTTCGTCCAGCTGCTCGTCGTATGTACCCGGAGTCATCTTCTGTTAAACCAACATCCGACACTAATAGATATCCTTTTGTCTTAGGCCACTGACGGAAAGATCACCGAAAATGCTGACAAGAAGGATGAGCTGAAAGGTTGGTTTGAGACACTCGACCTCCAGATCAAGATTATCTACGACATGTCCTGTCACGATCTGCCTCCCATTTTCGACGAGAACCTTGCCAGCATATCCGAGCTGCTCCACAAGTATTTGACATACGCGAGCCCCCTACTGGAGACTGACGACGAAACGGAAACAAGCATTGTTGATACAACCAAGGCTGATATCTGCGAGCTTCTCGAGCTCCTCACCATCAAATTCGACGAAGATTTCTCCAAGTATTGCCAGCCTTTTATCACAAATGTCTGGAATCTGCTATCTGCAATCGGGCCGGAGACCAAATACGACGGACTTGTGAGCAAGGCTCTGCACTTCTTGACTGCCGTGGCGTCTACAAAGGAGCATGCCGGCCTTTTCAACGATGAGGCTGTTTTGACCCAGATTGTGGAGAAGGTCATCTTGCCGAATGTGGCATTGCGAGAATCCGATGTGGAGATGTTCGAGGATGAGCCCATCGAATTTATTCGCCGGGACTTGGAGGGTTCTGATACAGACTCGAGGCGGAGGTCTGCTACAGATTTTCTCCGAAAGCTCCAGGAGAAATTCGAAGGCCCTGTCACAGGTGTTGTATCAAAGTACATCAACCACTACCTGTCCCAGGGCAAGACTGATTGGAAAGCCAAGGACACTGCTGTCTACCTTTTCCTGTCCATTGCAGCCAAGGGTGCTGTGACGGCCGCTCAAGGTGTCAAGACGGTGAATCCTCTGGTAAACGTTGTCGACTTTTTCGAACAGCATATCGCCTCTGATTTGGTGGCCAATGATGGAGTCCACCCAATTTCCAAGGTTGACGGCATCAAATTCCTCTATACCTTCCGCAGCCAACTGTCTAAAGAGCAGTGGAAACAGGCTCTTGGGCCTCTGATTCAGAACCTCAATTCGGACAATTACGTTGTGTATAGCTACGCTGCTATTGCCGTAGAACGCGTCCTCTTCCTCACAGATGACTCGGGAAATTCCGTCTTCCCTCGAGCTGACATTGAGCCTTTCGCTAAGGATCTTCTCGCTCACCTGTTCAAATTGATTGAGAAGGATACGAGTCCGGCTAAGCTCCAGGAGAACGAATTCTTGATGCGTTGCGTGATGAGAATCCTAATCGTCATCAAGGACGGTGCCACTGCCCAGCTCGATACTGTTTTGACCCATCTCATCCTGATCACAAACGTTATGAAGGCCAACCCTAGCAACCCCAGGTTTTATTACTACCACTTTGAAGCTATTGGAGCTCTTGTTCGGTATTGCTCATCCACGAGCGCAGCCATTTTCAACCAAAAATTATGGGAGCCATTCCACCAAATTCTCATTGAGGATGTCACAGGTAAGCATCGGCATTCCATACATATTGAGAAGTTGACCTCTTCTAACATATTTGTGAATAGAATTCATGCAATACATCTTCCAAATTCTTGCACAGCTGCTCGAATCCAGCCCCCCCGAAACTATTTCTGACAACTACAAGTCATTATTGGCTCCGCTCCTGAACCCATCATTATGGGAGACTAGAGGCAACGTTCCTGCCTGCACCCGATTATTGTCCGCCCTGATTCCTAGGATCGAGAAGACAATTGTCGCAGAAAACCAATTGGAGCCCATCCTTGGTATCTTCCAGAAACTCCTTAGTGGGAAGAAGTCTGAGCTGTACGCCTTCGACATCCTAGACGCCATTGTCAAATCCATCGAACCGTGAGTTCCCCGAAACCCCGTCTCAATTTACTCGATGCTAACGATTGCTATAGAGGCGTGATGGAAAAATACTTCGGCACCATCCTCCAATTAACCTACACGAAGCTGCAAGGAAACGTGGCCGATTCGTTGAAACTTAGGTTCGCCCGGTTCTTCCATCTCGTCGCAGCAAGGCTCGAGGCTGGTTATGGCGCAGACTACTTCATTAAGCAGTCAAACCAGATCGATGAGAGGGCATTCGCACAAGTGTACCCCCCATTCGTGTTAAGCGAGACGGAGAAGCTGGCGCGGCCTGTCGACCGCAAAGTTGCTGTCGTATCCCTCACCAAGACTCTTTGCGACTCCCAAGTCTTCGCGGAGAAGTTTGTCAAGGGCTGGGGCAACAGCTGCCGTATCTTGCTCTCCCTTCTTGCCAACCCCCCCACCGTGGGTGCCGGAGCAGGAGACGAGATTATTACCGAGGCAGACGTAGATGACATCGGCTTCGGAATGTCATTCACAGCCCTCAACACTTGTAGACCTCTTGCGCGGGATGAGTTCCCCGAGGTTGCCAATGTGACAACCTGGGTCAAGGAGTACATGGTAGCTGCCAACCAGCGACACAACGGCGCTGTCGCCAACTTCATCGGACAGAGACTGCAGCCCGAGGAACAGCAGGTCATTGCCCAGTACATTAGCTAAACACGTAATAGTTCAAAGTGATCATGTCCTGGTCGCAATTGATCCTTGTCTGCTACGATATGGACCGGTAGGATAGTGTTGCTTTTTTTATCAAAGAAAAAAAGAAAAAGAATGGATGCTATGGGCCTGGAAAACCGCATAATGAATCATGGCCGACAGAGCGAAAGGCATACGAGGGAAGGGGCCGCAAAATAGGAGATATACCAGATACCAGAAATTTAGTTAGATGAATGCCAAAGGCTATGATCTTGTACCGTCACTGGAACTGGGATTTGTAGACAAGGTTGAGATCAAGGCCATTGTGTTGAGAGTTTTGATACTGAGAGGGCTCCAAATATGCAATCAACCCACGGAGAGATCTAAACAGATTAAAAAAAATCGTAAATAAGAAATACTATTAAAAAGTCTCCGATATGAGAAATATGCGATAAACAAAGAAAGCCGCCAGGTATCTAGATAAATAATTGTTCTTTCCTCATCATCATCCAAAACCAAAGTTAAACGTATTGCTAAAAGTAAAGCGTAAGACGGATCCGTTTCGTAGACTAATCGTCGACCCATAAGAATCTTTATCGATTGAGGCCTCATCCTCGACCACGATCCCATAATTCGTACAATGAAAAATGATCAATGAATGCTCCCAAGATGATCGTGTGGTGAATGTGTGTGTGTGTACGTGCTCTGGAAAATCAGAATGCGGGGTTGTAGAAAACCCAATGCCGAAGGTGAATCCCATCCTCGGAGTATCATAAAGCATCATCGTGCAGACAAATGAAAAGTCGATGTCGCATCAAAAATCGCCCCTGGGTATTACATAATGCTTCGTTTTCGCGACCTCCCAATGAAAAATAAAATACCTTCAAATCAAGAGAAGCCGAGAACGGTTTATGACGAGGTGATGCGGATTAGAAAAAACCGCCCTCGACTCCCATGCCACCCCGCCAACTGCATCTCTTTTCTTGGTCATCCCGTATTCGATTTCGCTCCCTGGGTCCTGGACCTTGGTAATGAGCCTTCAGATTCGCCCGGGGAACGGACGCCTGGTTGGTATCGATCTCGCTGCTTCGTCGGCTACTGCCCCCGCTAGCGTTCGTCTGGACTAGCAATAAGCTACTGGTGCTGGACAGCCTTTTTGTGAATTCGGTAAAACTCAACCTTTTCGCGCTGGAGATGGATTGGCGGTGATCCCCACTGAGACGCATCAGAGCATCCTCAGGAGAAGCTGCAGTGGCCAGCTCCGCACCGGATGGCGATGTGAGAAACTGAGTACTCTGGGCCCTTTGGGTTCCACGGCGATTCTTCTCATTCGCAGTTTGTGGCCGATGTATGGATTCCTGAAGTACGCTATTGGGTGTGGCCTTGGCATGGAAGCTCAGGTTTTGCCGCGACATACCGGGTCGGCAGGAAGACGGAAGCTCTCCTATTGTGCGATGTGTTGAGGGTGCTACCAGAGGCGGTTGATAGTGATCGTCCCTTGAGGCAAAATTACCGTCATCGGAGTCGGTGTCTTCAGAATCATCGGTGTTTGAACTATCGTCAGCTTCGAATGCACTTCGCATCGCCAAATTCTCGGAACGTTCTGCAGCTTCTCTCTGTTTGCGCTTCTCATCCATATCACGCATAAGAGCATCGAACCGAGCGACAGAGCTGAGTTTCTCCTCACCAGGCAGGATTTGTTCCGATGCCGACATGCTTCTCATCTGGAAAGCCCTGTCGAGAATGGTCTCCCTGGGCATTGGGGGAGAGCTGGAGCTCGTCAAGGAAGTCTTATGAGCATGGTAGCTAATGCTATCACGTCCCTGAACGGGTGAACTCATTGTTGAGGTGCGCCCCTGAGCAGAAGTCCACCCTTCGATAAAATCCCCATGATAGTCCCCTGTTGTGGTTACAGGCGAAGGAAGATCTGTCGGTAACACTGTGGTATAGTACTGAGACGGCACACCGAAGTTCACCTGGTGCGAGCCTGGGAAGTTACTCGACGGCGAAGACAAGTCGCTTCGTTTTGATCTCAAGCTGGGAGACTCGGAACTAAAGGTTGTAGGTCGTTCCTTTACACCAGACGAATATGTTGCATTGGAGCTCTTGTGATGAAGACTTCGGTTCGCCGGGCCGCTTCCAGGGCGAGGGAAGTAATCGGATGCGTCTCGTTGTCGTGGAGAGAAAGTAACCGATGAGGTGGGGGTTATAGGACTTTCGTCGGGGCTCATCGGTCGCTTTCTGGACATGATGTACCTTGCCCAATCTTGGAGAGTAGGATAAGGCTCTTCAGGGGTTGAGCGGAACCAAAGGGAGGTCGAGCTACTATCCTTGTTGGCAGGAAGAAGACTTCCAGCTCGACTAGATCGCCTCTTTCGTTCTTTATCAGACAGGGTTATGACAAGAGTGGGAAGCACATGGCTCTGCTTGCGTTTCGCCAGCATCTGAACCTGGCAATCCACCACACAACTGATCGGCCATTGTTGAATAGGTTCCGTTTCATCCTAGAACGGGAAGCAGGTTTGTTAGACTGCGAGAGGGAAAGACAGAAAGAGTAGGTTGATAAGGAAGCATTGGGCAGAACACCAGGGAACAAACACGAACACACTACTCACCTTGGACTTGAAAATCGCAATGCTGGGTTCATCCATGAGTGCTTTCGGGCTTGACTTGGAGCTGCTATTGACAATGCGACTGGCGGACATGAGCCCAGAGTAGCTAGGGCTACTCTGATGTTCCCGGGGGAAAGTAGTTGGCCTGCGACCCACGATAACATAGCGAGGCTGAACAAGGCAATTGAGGTTAGCACTCTAACGGGTTCGGTACTTACAATGCCATGCGCAAAAGGGACTCTAGCTCACCTTCCAAACTGCCCTGCCCAAAATTTGGCCCCGGTCGGGAGGGACCAAGAGGGTTCCCTCGAAGTTGTCCATGTTGGAAAGGCAACCGACGGGCTCTGGGGATCAACCAAGAACAGAGAGCGGGGATCAAAGAGACAGTAGAGGGATGGATTAGCGACGCATGCTTGTTTAGTCGGTCTTGAGGGGAGTGCGCCTCTCTCTCTCTCTCTCTCCCTCCTCTCTTCTCCTTTGCGTTTTGGCTATGTGCGTCGGTGTTGGCTGGTTAATGCGTCTCAATGCTGTAAAAGGCGTCTTCAAAAGGCGACGGGGTGGCTTATAAGAATTTGTCAAGCGAGCGGCTCTTTGCGAATCAAAGACTGGTTGATATGTAGAACGAGGTCAACGCGACCCCAAGGGTTATATTAATAGAGAAGGAGAGAAGAAGAGACGGCCGACGATCTCTCGAAGAAAAAGATTCGCCAACGCAGGCGAAGAAAGAAAGAGCAGGGTTCCGGAGGACAATGATGGAATTGGATATGGATGGGGGTGAATGGATTGAATGACGGGTGATGAACAGATGGAGAGAGTGGGCAATGTCTGAGAATGGCCCCGGTCGCCACCCCGGTCCCAGGCCTAGTGCGCTGTAGTGGGTGGAAGTGGAAGTGGAAGCGCAGCCGTGCGTACAGGCTCCGTACCTCGTGCTGGGTTGGGGGTAATTTAGGTAGGCGCGACCGACCAGCGGTACCTGACTTCTACTCCAGGCCTGCGCAACTAGTGCCTCTTAGGCGCACTAGCCCGACCAGTACAGACGTGCGAGAGGGCAAGGTACCTGCCGGCCGGCGACTCAGGCACCTCCTTGGTGATGCTGGTTTGGAAGGCACGGCAGAGAGCATTCCGGCTCTGGTCCAGGCAGGAACTGCCTGCCTGGGACCGGATGGGAGGGAGGAGGGCTTTCTATTGGCAGGCACCCAGGCCGGGCATGCACTTCCCTTACCGCGGACGTACCTCCTGCCCACAGAGATAGGCAGCTTAGCCGGGCGATTTCCCTACAGTCTGCCCAAGACCCGTGTCGTCTGCTGCAGCATGTCGGTGCACTGCAGTCCACCCTGCGTCGTAGAAATTACTAAGTGGTCCACAAATGACGGAATTGGGCTAGCGGTAAAGGCATTGGCCTTGGTGGTGCTGCATCAGGAAGTGGGCACAGTGGCTCCCGTGTGTTGGAGGTTAATTTCGCACGACACTCAAGTCGCTCCACAACCACATCGCTCCAGCTGCTGAGTGCTGCGTCCACTCAGGCACAGAGTTGTACCAGGTTCCCCATGCCTCCCTGCTGCTCACCATGGGAGATTCCGTGGTAGGGGGTGTTTGAGGGCGAGTTTCAGCAACCTGGGGATTGGGTCTCAGTGTGACCGACTCGCACGCAGTAATACCACCTACTTACGCATTTGGATGGGGACTTATCTGATGGTGCTGGATCGGTTTCAGAGGCGACAACTTGCTTGGCATGCGACAAACCTGCCGGTGCTCGGCAGGCAGGTGGCTCGTCTGCCCCTCATGCACCGCCGACGCTCGCAATTGTCATTATTGCTGCCATCTCGTTGTTCAGCCGTGCCAGTTTGAGTCACCCCTTGATGGAAATGTGCCACAGCTGCGGTGAGAGCGAACATGGATGGATGGGTGGTCCTGCGCTCCACGTTTTAACAGGGCCTCGCTTGTCTGAACTGGTTGGCCCATCTCCCGCCTGGCTTCTTTCTCTCGGGAGCTACTCCCTGACCGAAGGTGCCCAAGCGACCTCCACTTATTAATAAGTGCCTGCGCCGCGCTTAGAGAGACGGGATGGGGGTTTTGGAGGCTTCGGTCCGTATTTCATCTACTAACCAACATGCATTTTCTTACCCAACTTTAGGTCGTTTGAGTAAGTCTACTACGGAGCCGAAGTGGTTGTTGTCCAGGAACCGAACTGTACCTTGCGTTTGCGGCCGGCACCCTTGCTCGACGTGCCCAATAGCTGGGAATCTGGGATTTTCGCCATCCAAGGTGTGGTAGGGATGGGATGGAGACAGGCCGATGACTTCCATACCGAATTACTGCTTCTAGTGTCTTCCCAGTTAGGCACTTGTAAATCATGAGCCGGTAACGACTGCTGCAGTGTATAGGAGGTGGGCAGATCCCAACTGAAATGCACTGCAGCCCATTGCCTCGCAGAACACTGTGAAATTCCTACGACGACACGGATTTCATATGCATGGACGATCTACCAATCATTGGGGCATATTTACATGTACGGAGCACATGTATTTTTACATTCTATATGACATGGATGTCATAGCTATCCAGACCCCTAGAGTCGGGCGGTGTCTCAGCCGCTGGCTCACATTTCGATCATATTACGCTTGATAAGGAAGCCTGGGGTTTACCGACCTCCTTTGATCGTGTGGCTGCACTGGCAGACCCGCCATGCCACGACAGAGTTCCTAGAAAGCACATGGCGAAGGCCCCTCTCGAGATGGCCCAGGCATGGGTTTGGCCGGCTGGTGGGCGAGGTTGTGCGGCACATAATCTGTGCATGCATGCACGTGCATACATAGTCTATTATGCACTCCATTATGCGCTGCATATGCGCAATGACAAGTGGGTGCCGGGATGTAGGAGAGGGATACTCACCACGCTGATCGTGCTCAACAAGCGTGGAACGGAAATGGAGGCGAGCTGCCACTCTCAGTTCATGTGTGCCAGCCAACCGCCTCTTCGTTATTAGTATTGATCCAGGTACCTGTCGCCAGCCTAAAGCAAGCCACCAATGGAACGATGGGTCAGTACCGTTCGCTAGTCAAGCCCATGTGGCCGAGATGCAGCAAAACGAGACTCGCCTTCACCAGTCCCGGTTTGGCTTGGCTTGGCCTCAGGTGTGCATGTATGCACATAGGCATGCAGAAATAAGGGCATGTAATACTAAAATGCAAGTGGATGCAGGCCTGTATGCAGGTGGCCCGAAACTGATGATGGACCTGAAGCTAGACTGATGAATGGCTGATAGTCAATGCTTGAATTCCGGGCTGGCTCATCTCTCGCCACATGAGCTGTCAAGTGCTGGCGTTAACTAACAAGCGAGTTTACGCATACGGCGGTGAGAGAGATAGAGAGATGTCGGAAGAGGTGTGGAGGACGAGCAGATGGCAACGGTCGAGGCGAGACATGGCAAGACAAGACCAGACAGACAAAAAGACATGGCAGCAGAGACAAGGGGTGATCATCAATGGACCGCTCCGTCCGGCCATGCCCGTCTCAGACACTGCACTCGGAACTGCATCAACGCATAGCTACACTCATGACCCTCCATCTCGCTCTCATGCTTCCTGCCCGCCTCTCCCCACGCACATGTGGCTTTCCCACAAGCCTAGTAGCCTGCAGCTCATATATGCGTTACACGAAGGACTCCTTGACTTTTTCCCTCGATGCGCATCAATGATCCACGGTTAGGGGCTGAGGGGTAGCGTCGAACAAGGATCAACCCTTCTGCTCAGCATCGGCGGGGTGGTCACACTCTCAAGTGCGACAAGACCAAGGGCAGCATGGTCTGCAGAAACGACTCAAACTCCATGGCCGGCCAGCATATGCACGGATGGGAACTACCGTGCAGCCCTCCAATGAGCACACCGACCGCCAGATGGTCGCGAACTTCCCACATGAAGCTAGACCAGCAGATGGGGATTCGGATGGGGATAATGACGCTTTTTTCTGACATTCAGATATTTTTGGCCACAGCTGAAAGCACAATGTATCCGTGAACGATACAAATACCCTTACTCTTAGGTACGCGATCCGGTCTTGCCTGATGAACCTCTCTTTCTGGATCGATTTTTGAGCAGTCCCCCTCCAGCTCCATTCCATGTCCATGGCTAGTTATCCATGTCCAGAAGGCACCGTGCAACCCAACCATTTACCGACAAACAAAGATAAAATATGTCCCACTGAACGCGTGCTTCTACCCCGAGATCATCCGCCCGGCCTGTGCGCCAGGATCAGGCCCAGATTCAGGAGTCGATCAGGCATTCCCGCCCAGATCTCCCCGAGACATTTCGACTGACCAGTGACCACCTACGTAGCACCGGCTTGGGCAATATATCCTAATCCATCACATTACATTCTCGAATGGAGTAAGAGGCAGCAAGCTGGAGATGACTCTCCCTGAGCCGTAACCACCGGCGACTACTGAACGACTAGCTGCCGTATCGTACGAGAGGGACCTCGCCTGTGTCTCAGACTGCAGCACACCTGAAAAAGATGGGGATCAACAGGTCCTCTTGTCGACGAGAATAGACACATCGAGCTCCGTCATTGCCTTCCCCCCATGGCGCACGAAACGGGAATTGTTACTGAAAATACGGTTTTATTAGTGCAGGCGATCTGGGGTCTCAAGCCAGACTGTCTGTCGTAATACGCGAATCAATACCCGTACACCTATATATACAAACGTGCTCCTGAAGGATCGGTCTGTACCACTGCTTTGGGAGGCTAGGTGAGGCGAGGTTGAGCGTCAGCGCAGAGTCCCGTCACCGAACCGAAAGGCAAGAAACTGAATGTCGGGCTTCGGACACGAGCTTGGACGCGGTGCCATGATCTCTGAGATCTGCTCCTATCTGCCCAGGTGCATCGGTCAGCAGAGGGGTGGCATTCGGTGGCGTCGCTGCGGGAAATGATGGCCTTCCTGTTCCTCTCCAATGCATCCCACCGTCAAGTCAGGGCGTCACCAGACCCGACGGACTGCTCTTGGCCCAGCAGCCAGACTGGGGTGGCTCCTCTGTTCCTGCATTGGCGTCAGGGGCGCACCAACACCAACACCAACACCAACAACTCCTCCTCGTCGGACCTCCTCCACAGTGGCCTCCCCCCTGGACCCATTGGTCTCGCTTACTCTGGCCTAGACGCAATGTGTGCAAAGAGCGAGGCCTCCATGTCTAGCGAGTTTCTCCTGCTGCTGCCATCGCACTTCAGCGTCTTACAGCGCAGTTTCGGCGATATCTTACCTTGTCGACTCGTCCGAACTAAGATCCCAGAGTCACTTCACTTTTCCAGGCCAGGGCGCTGTCTCGAAATCGCCAGTTGCGTTACAGTACGAACGGCCTACCCGACGCAACATTCCCCCTCATTCCATTCCTGCCGTCATCGCATCACCCTCGGCATGTGTGGGGGTTCGCCTGGACGCAATAGCCGGTCCGCATCTACGTACTATGTAGCATTGCACCACTACCACCACGACGTGATACGAACCTAGTAGTCTATCTGAATTAGCGGCCATGGCTTGCTCAATGGCGTCCATCTCGGTCCGTCCCATCGAGGGATGACCTGCCGACTTTCCCTCGCGCGCGTGTGTGTGTGTCTGCCCATTGGGAAGCCTCCCAAAATTCCTCGAATAGTCTTCCCCCCTCCCCTCCTGCTTGGCGATCTCTTACCCACTCTCTCCCTAGGGGTTCCAAACTTCCTCCTCCACCATTGGGGGGCAGGCTAATATAGCGCGCTGAAGACAAAGACCAAGCTCCACCCCAGAGAAGCACTTGCATCGAGCGAAAGCACGGACAAGCAAGGATCATGGGTCATGTTGGACAGGGTGGTCCGACCGCTCGTCCTCCTTCTGGGATTTCCTTGGGGGCTGGCGTCTATCATCATTAGCCTCGTGTCTTGGCCCTCTTAGACGGGATGCCAGACACCGCCATTGCTATTCAGAGCATCAAGCCGCGCCCTGCCGTGCCCATCAGCTTAGGATGGGCGTTGCGTCCATGGACGACGCAGGTACGCGAACCGGCCCCCAATGCAGGGCTCAATCCCTTCCCGCCGGAGTCCGTTCGTAGGATGCACATTGGTTCAGTAAAACTGCAATATATATATATATGCATATTTATATATGGCATTTTCTACGGTGGACCTGAGGCCCGTTCATGCAGGAACCATTGCATCTTTTTGCCATTCTTGGTCTTATTCGTCCTCGTATTGAACCGTAGGAGTCGGGAAGGGATTTCGATATTACGTATCCGCTCCAGTGGGTGCTTGATCCTTGGTGCACATCGCAGGCCATATGAGTCGCGCTGCCTCTCCGAAGGAACAGGATCCTAACACTCGAGGCCCTGTGTCGTCGATCAGGACGCACTCTGCACGATGCCAGTGCATTCTGGCTGTGGGGTTGGATTATTTAGACTACATACCTTCGGATATTACGGTGGTTGTAGACTCGTTTATTTCCAAAGTGGCCATGTGTCTGGTCAGGTGAGCATGTAACTTTCCATTCTTGCTGCTAATTATGCTGGGCTGCGCCGCGAAGCAATGAAGTTTATCGATACACATCTGTATGCTGAGACTTGAATTCCCTGTCTACAAGAAACCAAACTGCGCCAAAGGAACCTGCCGACCGTCTCCCATAACCATCCCCATTCACCCATTCAACGCCGTTAGAGATACGCATGTGAGGAGCCCTTGTTAATGTAAAGCCCAAAAGAAATGCAAAAAGCCGTCAGCGTGCCCTACCATTACGTCCCCAAAGCCTGTCAACCCTGGGCCAACAAAGTTCCATTCCAACAGGTGATAGCTCTCCTCAAAGTTGTGCGTACTCTCCTACAAGCCCGTGATATATCGATATTGTCGCTGTTTGATCCTTCTTAGGGAGAAGACCTCCTTTAGAAAGGAGGCACCGATATTTCGACAAGAACTCTAGGACTCCTGGTTTACAAAATAATATCCATCATCTTCCCGCACAGGTCTTGCACGTGCTTTGCTTGTCCATCTGGGGTGACTGTTAGTATAATGAAGAAAGCGATTATCTGTAGAGCAAATGAGGAGATCAAACTCACATTCTGACTTTGCCATCGTCACCACATGATGCCAACATTGCAGGATCGTCTGGTTTCCAGTCCACAGCATTACATCGAGGACGGTGGGCCTGTAACCGCTCAACCACACCGCCAGTTACTTTATGCCAAATGAGGATGTTGCCATCCTCACTCCCGCTGACGACAAAGCTCTCGTTAGCACCACCTAGGGAGCTGCGGATCATGTACTTTCCCCCGGTATGACCGAGGAACTTTTGGACTGGCTGCCTGGTCGTGAGGTTGATCAGCTGTGCCTCCCCATCCACTCTATTGACGAGTAAATGCTGCGAGTCCTGGCTTATGCAGATGGATGTTGGGCGACTTTCGAGTTTGATACTGTCGATCAACTCGCGGGTGATGGCGTTGTAGAGATGAACCGTCTCGTTGTCATCTACCGCGACGAGCCAACGGCCGTCCGGGGATCCACAGAGATCTTGAACACGGTGCTTCTTGTTCCATTCGATGTATTCATCGTTGTGGACGTTATAAGTTGTAAGGCTGCGGTTGATATCGAGCGTCCCGATCACGTATGACCGTCCGTCGTTTATCCAAACACAACCAATGGCCGGCTCACCATACCTTTGAGACTTTCGGAGGGGTTCGGGATGCTGTCGGCTGTTAGCATGTACGATTAATCTCAGTAGTTCTGGACCCGCTGCTTACTTGCAAGTCCCATAACCTGGATTGTTTGTCCTGTGAACATGTAACGATCATGGAGCTATCAGGACTCCATGAGACGTTCCCAACCCCACCTCCATGATGCCCTAGGACCGAGAATACGTTGAAGTTCTTACCCCAAACGAAAACATCCCGAGCGCTCCCGCATGCTGCCAGCATTGATCCATCGGGCGAGAATTTCACTTGCCATACTTCGCCATCCAAATTGCCTAGCTCAACGGCGCACTCAGTTGGGAAATTTTCTCGACGACAAGAGTGGTCAGAGTACAGTGAGGGAGATAACGGTTCCGTGTGATATAAACAGGAATTAATCTGCGACTGCTTGACTTGTTGAAGAAGCGTAGCAAGGCGGTTCTCCGGCAGCATGACTGACGGTGAGATGCATTCTGTATTCAGTTAGCTTTGGATCATAAATCCCATCCCCCAGAATGCAAACTCACTCGAAAGTTGTGATAGCAATATTTTGCGAGACTCCCCATGAGCTCCATCCCACTTGGTCTTAGCTTTCAGTTCGGAAAAGGAGTGACACATCAACAAACTAGACAGAAAGTGTAGTTTAGTTGTGTCATTGTATAATGGGGTCAACTCCTCGCGGAGCACGCTGAGTGCCTTCGTGGTATTTCGCTGTTCCAACAGCTCCAAGAATTTCTGCTGTCTAAGCGAGCAGCGCATCGTGGTCCGGTCTGAGCCCGATGATAAGACCAATCCATTCCCTTGACGGCTACTGGTCTCCGAATCCGAGGCCCCAAGCAACAGCTGCTCGGCTTGGGCCCAGGAGCCGCTGAGTACTGCTGACCTAAAGGACGCAACGGTCGGGCTTTCCAGTACGTAGCCACTATCCCGAGACACACTGCCGGCTGCCTCTTGGTAACCTAAATCTGATAAAGCCTGGATGAGAAGTCTTGTGACCTCCTCGCGATTGTGGCCAAAGTAGGTTGAAGAACGCCTTTCCCCATTTGACGACCCATTCATGCCCAGCCCTGCTTTGTTGTGCCCATTAGGCGCACTGATCTGAGATGTGTGCTGTGCGCTGGGGCCAGCGGCACCGTTGGGGCGAGTAACAAGGCCGCCATTTGAGGGGAGTGCACCATCGCCGTCGCTCAACATGGTCGTGTGCTCTCCCCTTTGGCGTTTCGGGTGAGGCTGTTCAACCTCGCTTTCGGACGGAGGGTCGATGAGCGAGCGAATGTCGAGGTACCCCGAGGCAGCAGACCGACTGTCGGACGGGGATCGCCGTCGTCGCCCAAGAACTTGGGCTGGGGTATTGATGATGTTTGGATAGACGGGAGCCGCGGAAGATTCTATATTCGCAGAGGCAGCCGCTGTCCTGGACGCGGGATCTAAAGATGGCGTAGGTGCCGGGTGACCTTGTGCGGAGACGAGCCTGCTGGAAGGTACGGGGGGCAACCGATGGAGCGATGGGTCGTCGTCGGAGGCGTGCTCGGGATGGGAGCGGGTTGGGGATGATGAGTCCAGATCTGCCTCTTCGCGGTAGGAACCGCGGTGGAAGTGAAAGAGGCTATGGCGAAGCTGGGCAAGAGCCTGTGGGAGATATCATTCAGATTTCTCGGGTCCAGTTGCGGGTGCTACGTCAAGGGCAAGCTCGAATCGTGATCGAGAGCGGGCAGAGACCAAGCGTCACAGCAGTATCGGGCCAAGCACGCAGCGGAGTACGGCGTAGGTGCTGAGGAAAGAGCGAGGTTGTTGAGGTGGGCCTGAGTCTCCGTCGGTGCCAAATGGCTGGTGTTTGTCGTTTGTGGGAGGAGGAGGGTTGAGGTATCTTGCCTTTGAATCACTTGCATGGGATTAGGTGGTGGTGACGGGTGGTTGGAGGAACAGTTGAGCCGATTGCACATGCAGCTTTGCCAGCAGTCGCCAGGTGACCATCGCTGGCTTCGGCAGTGCAGTACTAAATGACCTCACCTCTAACGCCATCCGCTAATTACCTATTTGGTAGGCAGGCCCAGCGCTCTGTTGGCAGATTAGGCGTGGCCCCAAGCTGAATCAACAGCAGTTCAACTGAATAATGACTGAATTACAAATACAGAATCACAACATGGTTTCTTGTTTACCTCTCATTATGGTTGCAATTACCAATCAAATAACACTCCTAGGCCTGCAGTGTTGTATTTCAGCTAGGTACTTGCCGCCCGCTGTCGCTGCAATGGATGCTACCTGTTGGTGGATACCAGTCACTATCGATCACTGATAAGAGTGCCACTTGACCCTTTGGGCACTGCTGCACCCGATGATACAAGGGTCTGGATATGGAAATGCGCATCCGAAATGGTTTGAAGCGATGGCTCTGAAGACTAACAAATAACTGAAAAGCATCACCCTTCTGTGTGAGACGCTGGCGCACGGTGTAATAACAGAAACGTGTTGATTGGGCTTCATGAGGCGGGAGCTTCTAACCCTTACGCTAGGCTTGAGCTGCGGGGGATTGATGCCAAGTTGCTCCAACCTTGGTTGCATCCCACGAGGGAGTAGGTACGGTTCTTAAGGTAGGTCGCTTAATACCTCCAATCACTCATTTTACCCGGTTGGGTGTTTCGACTGCATATTTGTGGCATATTGTCAAGATTCTGTTGACAGGAGGAAATGCCATGTAGGTGCATGGGACAATAGCCAACGGGCTAATAGCATATCCATGTCGCCACTTGGATGGACCTTATCATGAGGAGTGTGGTAAAACATTAGCAGGTTCCTCCTTCCGGATTCGCAGTCGTTTCACATTCCAGCATAATTAATCATGAGGAAAGCATAATCTAGGTATTTCGAGAGCGGACCAGGCGCATTGTCACACACGTATTTGCCTCCTTGTGATAATTTCGACGAATCCCTAGCTGCTGACCTAAGTGAGACAAGATTTCGGGTAAGCCTCGCCCCAGGCACCATTATAAGAGATATTGCGCTGGCCGTCAGTTCGTCAGCGCGTGACGTTGCTCTCCAGGCTTCTAGATTCTAAATACCCTTCAAAGGCGGTAAGTACCGGAGGCTGCTGGGAGATAAGATAGCTTGGCAAATCACGTGTGACTATTGCTAGCATCGAAATCTCCAAATCATTGGGAAATCCAGGGTGAGTTGCGTGCGTCGGGAGTAGAAGCTTCGCCACACGTGGCTGGAGCTGAGGAGACCCACCATCGACTGCCAGTAACCAGGGCACCGACGTAACTTGGGTGCTAGGTTAGGCTGAAGATATAATACAACAACTTGCGAGAGCCCCCTCCTGACCTCTCCCATTTTTCAGAACATCAACCTCAGGGTATGACACCCTCCTAAGCTGCTGACACTCCCTGCCTGACGATACTGATCAAAGCTCTAGCCGTTAGGCAGCGCATACACCCCCAGCTTGCTTCCCACCGCCGCCTTTTGCGCACGCCAACACTCAGGAGTTCATCCCCGACCCCTCGGTCCCTTGCCGCCATCCGCCCTGCTATTCGAATCCTGGCTATTGGCCGATCGCGATATAAACGAGCCCATTTCTTGGGTGGAACAAGGGAGACACCACAATAATTTATACGCTTGAGAGCTTGTCAACACGATGAGCGGTTCGCTTGTTACGACAGGGGGCATCTCCGACCCGGCCCTCATCACGTTCGTGACAAATCCCCTTCTCCAAGATGATGCGCTCTCCGATAGCTGACTCCCCCTCGCAGGCTTGTGAACAAGCTTCAAGATGTGTTCGCCACGGTCGGTGTCAACAACCCAATCGATCTTCCCCAGATCGCAGTCGTTGGTAGCCAGTCGAGCGGTAAGAGTTCCGTCCTGGAGAACATTGTGGGACGAGACTTGTAAGTCGGATGGTTTCCTTAACTCCCTGTTCCGTATCATCTAACTCTCCGTCCAAAGTTTGCCTCGAGGATCAGGAATTGTCACCCGCCGACCGCTCGTTCTCCAGCTGATCAACCGCCCTGCTCAGTCAAATGGGGTCAAGCAAGAAGACATTTCCACAGCCACAGACAAGGCTGCCAACGCCGACGAGTGGGGAGAGTTCTTGCACATCCCCGGCCAAAAATTCTACGACTTTACCAAGATCCGAGAAGAGATTTCGCGAGAGACTGATGCCAAGGTTGGACGCAACATGGGTATCTCAGCCGCCCCTATCAACCTACGAATCTACTCCCCCAACGTCCTGACATTAACTTTGGTGGATTTGCCTGGTCTTACAAAGGTTCCTGTCGGCGACCAACCTCGAGACATTGAGCGACAGATCCGCGAAATGGTTCTCAAGTACATTGGAAAGTCGAACGCTATCATTCTCGCCGTCACAGCCGCAAACATCGACTTGGCCAACTCTGATGGTCTGAAACTCGCGAGAGAGGTCGATCCCGAGGGTCAGCGAACGATTGGTGTCCTCACCAAGGTCGATCTGATGGATGAGGGTACAGATGTCATTGACATTTTGTCGAACCGAGTCATTCCCCTTCGCCTGGGCTATGTCCCTGTTGTCAACCGAGGTCAGCGGGATATCGACAACAAGAAGGCCATTAATGCTGCTCTTGAGGCTGAGAAGAACTTTTTCGAGAACCACAAGGCTTACCGAAATAAGAGCTCGTACTGCGGCACCCCATATCTGGCGCGAAAGTTGAATCTCATTCTCATGATGCACATCAAGCAGACCCTGCCTGATATCAAGGCTCGCATTTCAAGCTCGCTTCAGAAATACACCACTGAACTAGACAGCCTGGGCCCTTCAATGCTGGGCAACAGCGCCAACATCGTGCTCAACATCATCACCGAGTTCACGAACGAGTGGAGGACAGTGCTGGACGGTAACAACACTGAGCTATCTAGCACTGAACTCTCTGGTGGTGCCCGTATCAGCTTTGTTTTCCACGAGCTGTATGCAAATGGTGTGAAAGCTCTCGATCCTTTTGATGTCGTCAAGGATGTGGACATTCGCACCATCCTGTACAACTCTTCCGGTTCTTCCCCTGCTCTTTTCGTTGGCACGACCGCCTTTGAGCTTATTGTCAAGCAGCAAATCAAGCGAGTCGAGGACCCAAGCTTGAAGTGCGTCTCGCTGGTTTATGATGAACTGGTACGAATTCTGTCTGGCCTTCTCAGTAAGCAGCTTTACCGCCGTTACCCCTCACTCAAGGAAAAGATGCACACGGTCGTCATCGCTTTTTTCAAGAAGGTTATGGAGCCTACCAACAAGCTCGTCAAGGATCTGGTTTCTATGGAGGCTTGCTACATCAACACTGGCCACCCCGACTTCTTGAACGGCCACCGAGTAAGTTCCGAAGCCGACTGATATTTGTAGTCACAGCTAACATTTGATGATAGGCAATGGCGATTGTAAATGAGCGTCACACCCAAGCTAAGCCTGTGCAAGTTGACCCTAAGACGGGCAAGCCTCTGCCTGCATCTTCTACCCCAGCCAGAGCGGCCAGTCCCGCTGTGCCAGACACTGAAGGTTCCAACGCTGGATTCTTCGGAAGTTTCTTCGCTGCCAAGAACAAGAAGAAGGCCGCTGCCATGGAAGCCCCACCACCAACTCTCAAGGCCTCAGGAACTCTATCCGAGCGTGAGAACATCGAGGTTGAGGTTATTAGTACGTTGAATCATCCCTTTATCATGTGCATTAAGTATTCAATGCGACATCTCAGCTAACAAACTTAGAACTGCTCATTGCCTCATACTTCAATATCGTTAAGCGCACCATGATCGACATGGTGCCCAAGGCCATCATGCTCAATCTCGTCCAGTATGTACATTATCTTTAAAAGTTTGAATCATCAAGTATGCTAACGCAGTCATCAGATTCACCAAGGACGAGATGCAGCGCGAACTTCTCGAGAACATGTACAGAACTGACTCGATAGATGAGCTCCTCAAGGAGAGCGACTTCACCACCCGAAGACGGAAGGAATGCCAGCAAATGGTCGAATCCCTCGGCAAGGCGAGCGAAATCGTCAGCCAGGTTCAGTAATTCTACGCACGCTGCTCGCCAGGTGCTGGGCACACTGAGCCAATGTCAAGCGAACAATCGCATCCCTAATGGTGGCAAGCGGCAACCAGTCACAAATCTTTTTTTGCGCCACTAGAATGTCTCTTGATATAGAGAAGAGAGCGGCGACGAAGATGACGACTAATGCATCCTCTCGAGAGGCACGACGAGGCGTATGATGGCGGAGGCTTTGTATAGTGGGCGGGTTTCCAAGGCGTCATGAAGATTTGTGATGGTGGTTTGAGTCGGAGTTTTATACCTTTTCACCCCAGCTTTCTACCATGCCTTCTACACTTGTGGACTATATCCTAGATCAGACCAATTTTTCTTACCTTCTAAGCTCCCTACACACCCAGTGTCATTCAAATGTACCCCCTTGATACTTATATATACATATACTGTTTAATCTGTGTGTGCTTGATCTATCGTTTGTGTCGTTATCGACCTACAACTTAGACGTCGCTTGCTTCTTCCAAACCAAACCCCCCTTGGAAACATCGTACTCCTTCCCCTTTGACCATCCAACCCACTGCCGCAGGGCCACCTCGCCACCCTCCCCAGCTCCCAAGGCAAAACCCTCGTACCCGTCACCTCGCGACCCAGCTCCTTGACCGTAAGTGCCCGCCTGCCCCTTGCTCACACCCTGCGCCACCGCCAGGCACGGCGTCTCGCGCAGCGTAACCGCCGGCCGCTGATCTCCCTCCCTCGCGCCGCCCTTCTCCAGCTCCTCATACTCCAGCACCGGCACGCAGCAGGCGTCGGTCCCGTCAAACACGGCCTCCCACTCCGCCCTCGTCCTGCTCCGGAACCGCTCCTCGAACAGTCCCCGCAGCTCCGGCCACCTCACCTCGTCCGCCCGGTCCTCCTCCCACCCTCGTCCGCCCAGCCCGAGCCCCTCCACGAGGACGGCGAAGAACTGCGGCTCTAGCGCCCCCACCGACATGTACTTGCCGTCCTTGGTCTCGTACGTGTCGTACCAGGGACACCCGCCGTCGAGCACGTTCCTCCCGCGGCCCCGGTTGCCCATGGGCGTCTTGAGCGCCAGCCGCGGGAACGTGGCCAGGTACGAGCTCCCGTCGACCATGTTGGCCTCGACGACCTGGCCGCGGCCCGTGCTGCCGCGGGAGAGGAGCGCCATGAGCACGCCCTGAAACAGCGTCGCACCTCCTCCCGCGAAGTCGGCGAGGATGTTCCACGGCGGGTGCGGCTTCTCCCCGTCGCGGCCCAGCAGGCCCAGGACGCCCGAGACGGCGAGGTAGTTGATGTCGTGGCCCGCCATGGCCGCGTACTTGCCGTCCCTGCGGAACCCCGTCATGCGGCCGTAGACGAGGCGCGGGTTGAGCTGGAGGAGCGCCTCCGGGCCGAGGCCCAGCTTCTCCAGCACACCGGGGCGGAACGGGTCGATGAGCACGTCCGACTGGGAGACGAGCTCCTTCACCAGCGCGACGCCCTGCGGGTCCTTGAGGTTGACGGCGATGGAGCTCTTGTGCCTGCAGAGCATGTCGTTGGTCGGGGGCGGTTGCTCACCCGGGGTGTGCGTCTGGCCGGGGACGGCGCGGTCGACGCGGAGGACGGAGGCGCCGGCCTCGGCGAGGAGCAGGCCGGCAAAGGGGCCTTGGGGAGAATGAGCATTTTGTGTGATGCATTGATGTATAAGGAGGGAGGTAGGGAGGGGAATGAGTTACCTGGAGCAAGGCCTGCAAACTCTATGACCTTGATGCCTTTCAGCGGAGGTGGACCAGCCATGATGGATACTGATGTTGATAATATACGATGAAATTCACAGATTGGACAAGAGGTGATGAAGCGACTGGTTGGAAACGTTGCGATTGATTATCATTGGCAACACTGGCAATTAAGATCTGCGATGCTTAAGAAATACATCTATTATAAGATAAAGGAAGGAGCTCCTCATCCGGCCTGTAGGTGAGGTGAAGTTGGTTCTCTATAATCCTCCAACATGCCGAGGGAAGGGAGGTTGGAGGTGGCGGAATTGAATAACCGTATGTGGTCAAACCGAGGCTTGGAAATTGTTTGATCATTTGGGGAATTCAAGGTTAATTTGATGCGGGGGTTATGGAGATTGCCGCCACAATGAACCGCAGCCACAAATCCCTCCACTGTAAGAGATGTGTGACAGTATTATGCACTCCTTGCTCAGTTCCATTGTATTACTTGCTGTAATGTCAGAATTGGTGAACTTGGCATGGTGTAGGTAGCCTTCTTGTAGCCCAGTATGTCTAACATCTACGTCAGTCTTTGGATTTATGATATATCACTGCATGTGGATTCAAGTAATAGCGACGTGATGTGATTGAAGTGAGCAACCAACACTATGAAACAAATTCGTAATTCCGTCACTGACAGTCCCGTTCCAATCAACCCGCAGCGCCTCTAAAAGCTTGTCTATGTAACAACTGGCTTTGTCGTCGATGTCATCAGAAAGCAAAATAAAACAGGTACTTAAGAATGCAATGCCTGGATATCCCAAAAACACCAAAATAACACACGCTAAATCATGACAGCTTAAGCCTTGGACCACCAGTCGCCCTGGTCGTGCATGGCACGTGCGACCTTGACGAAGCCGGCAATGTTGCTTCCAGCAACCAGGCTGGGAAGCTCGCCCTCCTGGGACTTGACGTAGGACTTGGCAGTCTCGAGACCGTTGTAGAAGGCGTTCTTCATGATGTCCTTGAGCTTGTCATCAACCTCCTTCTCGGTCCAGGGCAGGCGCTGGCTGTTCTGGGCCATCTCGAGACCAGAGACGGCGACACCACCGCAGTTGGAAGCCTTTCCGGGGGCGTACCAGACAGCCTTGGCACCCTTCTCGCGGCGCTCACCCTCGAAGACGTCAATAGCCTCCTGGGTGCAGCCCATGTTGGAACCCTCAGCAACGGCGAGGACACCGTTCTTGACAAGGACCTCGGCTTCCTCCTTGCTGACCTCGTTCTGAGTAGCGGATGGCAGAGCGACGTCGACGTTGCCGACGTGGACCCAGGGTCGGGCACCCTCAATGTAGCGGAACTTGCTCTGGTGGTCGAAGGCGGTCAAAGCCTTGCGGTCGACCTTGAGTCCGGCAATTGTGTTGATGTCCTCGGGGGTGAAGACGTTGTCGCCCTCAGCAATGAGAGCACCCTTGGAGTCGGACAGAGAGACGACCTTGGCGCCGAGCTCAATGCACTTGAGGGCGGCGTACTGAGCGACGTTGCCGGATCCAGAGATGGCAACACGCTTGCCAGCGAAGGTACCGTTGCCGGAAACCTCGAGCATGTGCTCAACGTAGTAGACAAGACCGTATCCAGTAGCCTCTGCAAGATATTGTTAGTCCCTTTTCCTCAACAAGAAGCATAACTAGAGTTGAACTTACCAGGACGGATCAAGCTGCCACCCCAGGTGAGGCCCTTGCCGGTCAGGACACCCTCCCATCGGTTGCGGGCCTGGCGGTAGGCACCGAACAGCCAGCCGATTTCGCGGCCGGAAACACCGATATCACCAGCAGGGACATCAGTGTCGGCACCAATGTGCTTGCTCAACTCGCGCATGAAAGACTGGCAGAAGCGACGGATTTCAGCATCGCTCTTGCCCTTGGGGTCGAAATCAGCACCACCCTTGCCACCGCCCATGTTAAGGCCAGTCAGGGCATTCTTGAAGGTCTGTTCGAAACCAAGGAACTTGAGGCTATAACCCACTCAGTCAATAAGTGGTCCAGGAATAGGTTGTTGCAACATGGACAGGGCAACATACATAGACAGGTTGACGGAAGGGTGGAATCGAAGACCACCCTTGTAAGGGCCGAGGGCAGAGTTGTACTGGACACGGAAACCACGGTTGACCTTGAGCTCGCCGGCGTCGTTCTCCCAGACGACGCGGAACTGGATGACACGCTCAGGAACGGCGGCAACCTCGAGGGCGGTGCGGTACTCGGGGTGCTGCTGGAAGAGGGTGCTGTCCTCAAGGGTGCTGACAAGCTCTGAAAGGAGATTCTTGTTAGTCGTGATGTGTTTCTTGGTGTTGTGCTAGCGTTGTTGGATATACACACCCTTGTAGGCCTGCTCGAACTCGGGCTCGGAAGGAAGGTTGGCCATTGTGAGTAGTGTGTTTAGGTGGTAGTGGTGTGTAGGGGATGTCGTGTCGAGTCGTGGGAGATGTCTTTGACGAGGAGATCGACTTTCCACTCAGTTGGTTTGGGATAAGAAGAGAAAGCAAGAGAGACTTTGGTCGAGATGGAAACGGCCCTTTTATAATTGAAAGAGTAGGAATCCCCCCGTAGTATCTGCCGACCTCCTTCCCACTTCCCAGTCCTAGTCCTAGGCTGGGCTCACATCGGTGTTGCACGACAACAACTTTTGACAAACGATTGCCATTATCGTTTGCGGAGAGGAACGGAATGGCCCACCCTCCACCACGCTGTGCTGGGCTCGCGTCTGCCGTCGACTCGATTTCCGAAGCAATGGCTAGGGGGGGTGGTCGGCCGAAGAAGGGATGGACGACCGAGTCGATTCTTGTGACATGAAAGCTTCAGACAACACTAATTGCTCAGCCTGTCGTCGTTGCACGGCTGGCTCGCTCCACCAATGGCGGGCGAATTGCGGGCCAGTGTGCCCAATTCCCTTATTCAGAAGATTTGCTGAGATGACGTTTCGGCAGAGATAAGACTGCCGCCGAGCACCCACAGGCTCTCCAGCAGCCCCAGCTGTGGCCCCTGGAGCCCCCGTTGTCGGTGCCAGCTCCAGAGATGCGGCCTGTGAGATGCCGCTGCTCCCAGCACCTCCAGCGCTCCCATAGGCCCCTAGCAGCCTGCCCCCCCTCACTCTCCCCCACCTCGATTTGCGTTACAGCGCCTCCGCGAGATGGTCCCTGCAGCTAACCATGCTTAATATCAAGTAATGGAAACTCAAATGTCCAAGCCAAAGGCCTCATCAACCCGAAAGCAGCTGCCTTGCTGCCTTCTTACGTCCGAAAAGCACTCCACTTCATTCGTCTACCACGTTACTGAAGCACCACGCCACTGGAGAATCACGCCGCCAGAGACGCTCCCGCCGTGTTCGAGAAGGGGCTGTCGCGTGTTTCCTCACGAATAACTGCGTCTCGATATATGTATGACGGCACCAGGCTGAGAGGAATGAGGCGGTCTTACTCTTGATTCTACTAATGCTGACCTCGCTCCTCTACCCGAGGACTACACTAGCACCACTCTCCTGCCCGAACACGCGGTTAATGCGCCATGGCAAATTATACTGTACTGAGTCGCCTCTTGGCCGCGGGCCACATTCCGTCTGGGCAAGAGAGCCGTCGTTTTGCGATCTCGGAGTCGAGATGTTTTGCCTCCTCCCACCCCTCCATGTGTCCCACCTTTTCCGCACCACTGTCGACCGAACTTGCTTGCATTGCATTTTAGCCCGCGGGAGAATCTCGCGTCCTCCCCACTCTCCCCCAAGATGGCATGGCCATGCATGTCCGACTTACACACATATATACTGCTATCATCGAACAGTGACTTGATGTAAATGTGTAATACCTACTGCTCCCGTCCTCACCCGCCTACCGGTAGCGCGCCCCCCTTCTCCGTCGGCCCTTCGACGGTCACACCGAGCGACACCACGGCTGTGAATCTATTTCCACCTTTAGATTGATAAACGATCTTGGGTAAAAAGCCACTAGTCCCTCCGATTATCGGCTCCAGGATCGGAAAACTTTCAGAGAACTGAGTGAGATTCGGAAGGGGAATTTGGTGCGACAAGCACATATTTGTCTTGAAAAACTACCAAACTGTCCAATTCCACCGCGCGATATTATTCCTTATCATTCATGGAGAAACGCCAAACAAATATATGCCTCGTCATCCCACAGCCGCGACGCCGTCTAAACCAATTAAATACTCGTAATACTTGGAAGTAGGAAGGAAAGGATCAACACCAGCCAGGCCCGATCATCACCATATTGCTGCCTGGTCTGCATCAAACCTCGACAGCTCTTTGCCCGCATCCTCCAAGTCCTTCTTCGCCTTCATCCGCATGTAGAAGATTGGGCAATCCTTACTGCTGCAGATCACCTCGCAGTGCATGCTGCCCTGGCACCGCTGGCACTGCGTCCAGAGCCGCCCAAATCGCACCTCGAGATCCGAAACTCGATCAAGCGTCTTCTTGTACAATTCGCCCACTCGGGGCGAGCAGTTGGAGCAGACAGCGCCGCCGCTCTCCTCCTTTCCAGTCAAAGGCTTTTTGCAGCCCATGCATGTCTGTGTTTTCTTCGCAAATTTCATCAGTCCTCCGACGGACGGCGCTGCGACGGATATCGTTCTTGTGTGATCGCCCGTCAGCAGTGATCTCGCCTTTGTCTCACCCAAGATGGGCTCGAAGATACGGGTTAGCGGCTTCGCAAGCTGATTGTCGAGGTAGTATTTGGTGTCGATTGGCACATTGTTCTCCAGGACGTAGATCGGATCTTCAGACTTCTCAAAGTTCTTCGCGCCTGCTGCTCCCCTGATCATGACATAAGCCACACGGTCACCCAGTCCGGGCGCTGAGCCTGCGTCGCGCTTCTTCATACGCTGCGCAAGCTCGACGTGAGCCTGTTTTGCTGCGTACTGCTCGTCCGTTTTGGTGAGCGCCTTTGTAATCACAAGTTTCGACATGTCGATCTTGTTCTGTAGCAGGTCCGCCACAGTGTCTTTGACGTATCTGTGAAGTCTGTTAGCACGAGTCTCATCTTACTTTTGTCTGGTGCTGGCGTGGGGGTCGAACTTACTGCTGAGCTCCTGAGACATCCTTGTCGATCAAGATCATTCGCAGCACCTTTTCAATTACTGTTTGGACGAGCAAGCAGTTGTCTCGACGGACAGTCTCAATACCTTTGGTGTCCATCTTGTCGTACTTTTCGGGCCTCGTCCAGAACAGTCCGGCGTAACGCTTCTTGTTGATCAGCAGGTAAGGGTAATACACCTTCTCGAACTCAAGCTTAATTGGCTTGATAAACTTGGACGAGACAAATTGCGCAGCCTCCTCACCCAGCTTCATGGCCTCAGCAAGGTCCTTGGTGCCGAATTTCACCATGACGGAATCAGTGTCTCCGTAGACGACTTGCGCGTCGTATGTGTAGCCATTTGCGATCGTGTACTTCTTCTCCACTTCCTCCTTGGTCTTTTCGATCATCTGGCGACCAAAACTGGTCGTGCTACTGGCGATCTCAAGGCAGGGGAGCTTACCCGTGGTCGCACCCGTTAAACCGTAAACACTGTTTGCGCTGATCTTCAGAGCCAGCTGACGACCATTCAACACTGCCTTCTTGAAAGGGTCGGTTTCAACGGCAAGTTCCCGTTTAGCTTGCTTTCGTGCGGAGAGCAATTCTTCCAAGATCTGAGCTAGGAGACCCTTTCTGTGCTTGATCGTCACAAATGTGTCGCCGTTTGGAGTGACAATGTAATCATCGTCCTTCTTGAGGCTCAAAGCCTCGATAGCTTGTTTGTTTACAAGAGTTGTGTAGCACAGGTTGTGTGCTTGCATGATACTGGGATACAGTGAGGCGAAATCCAAGGTAGCGATGGGCACGTCGTAGTATGCTCGGATGGGCTCAATGACCGTGGCACCTTCATACTGCTCATCTGAGTTTTGGGTCGAAATGTTGGGGATCACCAGCTTTTGTTCAAGCGCCTTTCGGAATAGCTGACTGACGAACTTGATTTGCTGTCCGCGAGAGAGCAGGAAGTTGAATGGCACACCCGTGACTCTTGCCATTTCTGTGTAGTTTTCCAAACAGGACAGTTTTTCCATAAGTCTCTGAGGTAGATATGCATCTTTCAAGCAGTAAAGTGCAAGACGTCTCCTTGATTCGGGTGTTCCGTTGAAAAGTTCGGTAATCATAGTGTAGTGGACATCCTCCTTTTGCTCTCCCAGGAAGTGGGCAGACACAGAGTTGAGTGTATAGCTTCGAAGGTGGTGATCACGCTGAATGAGTTGGAGAAGATCAAGCTGCAACCGTCCATTGATATTGGTGCTCTTTGTGTCACGGTTACCCATCTGTTTGCTGTTAAGATTCTTGTCCCTGTGTATGGATGGCTCGGTTGGAATGCGAGTCCAGTACTCAAACCCATGAACCTTGAGATGCTTAGCTCGATCAATCAAGTATGGTATATCGAAATTCGCAATGTTGTAACCAGTGATGACATCTGGGTCAACCTTGACAATAAACTTTTGCCATTCGCTGAGCAGCATTTCTTCCTTTTCGAACTCGAGGATGTGAGTGGCCACAATCGAACTTGTGGTATCAAGGCAGAATACATTCCGGACGAAGGGCTTTTTCTCTCCATATTTGGTAACGATATTGGCAATCTGGATGACGGGATCATGATTCGCTTCCGGGAAAATCCCTTTACGACCGCAACATTCGATATCGAAGGATAGGGTACGGAGGGGGGCGATCCTGGCCCATTCACCTTCGGGTTTGTGTGCGATCAAATCAATATAGCTGACTTCAGCCTCGATCTGACAGTTCGACTGTCGGCCGTGCTCGATCAGTTTGTAGGACTTGGCGGGGGCCTCGACCCACGACATGCCTTGAATCTGTTACGTGTAAGTCGCTATTCACAAAGTGTGAGGAATTTGCATCCAAACATACCTTGCAGTCGACCATGAATCGAAGCACGTACTGAATGTTATCGTAGGTCTTAATTCCATCTGCGGCCCCTTTCCATAGACCCTTCCAGTTGCCTTCACCGTTCTCAAAGGCTGTTCGTACTTTGTGAATATATTTTGGGTCGGTGACCGTGACTTTGAGGTATGGGCTGGGCTTGTTGCCCCGGAATCCGTAAATATCTTCTCGGTTCGTCATCGCAACGGCGTGAATTGTCTGTTGGGGGAGACCGATCTTCGAATCGAGAAATGTCTTGAACGCCAGGCAGTCCTTGGGCTGGAATGACTGAGGAGCTGGAACATAGAGATAATGTTTGAAATCGGTGACGTGTAGCATGACTGAGTTTCCCTTGTCATTTACACCAAACAACTTGACAGTGGCCCTGCCACCGTGCAGAGTGCCCTCCTCTGCTTCGATTGACTGAAAGCAGAGGCTGTCTCGCTCTGGTACAAAGTCTTCCACTGGGGGGCGTTCCCATGACTGATCCTTTTCTGCGTTGCTCTGCTTCAGGGATGAAATATCTTGGCTGAGCTTCTCGAGGACTTCAGACTCGAAGACACTCTTGGGTTGACTTGACCCTAGCTTAAGATGGTTATTATTCTGTGAGCTGGTGAACCGGGCGGCCGGTGATGACGTGAAGGGCTCTGTCTTGCGTTTCTTGGCCGAAGAGGGCGTCGACGGGACATTCTGAAGGTTGCGGGACTCGCCCAGAACACGTTTTTGTGGAAGGACTGCAGTCGCCATTGTGAAGAGCTCTGGAAGAAACGGAGGAGCGAATGGATGAAAAATAAGGGTGATGGCTCAATTACCAACCCATGAAGACAAGCAGATTAGCAACACTGAGCATGAAGGGTTGAGCAGACACTAATGAAGAAAGATTGAGCTCTAGCACGTTGCTGGGATACGCGACTTGACGTGACTGAGGCGTCAGGACCCGCGTCGGGAGTTTAATGGGACCCACAAGCACGTGACTTGGCGTCACCTTGCCGTATCTCATCCACCTCATGGGCTCACTGCAGCTGCAACGGTCTACCTGAGTCTATAGCCAGGCTTTCGGAAAAGGAAACAAGGCGAAACAATAACAAAAAACGGCGAGCCATTGCACTTCAAGTCGAATCCAAATTTGCGTTTAATTCATTTCTTTCTTATACATCGATTATGCTTGCCCAAGTGGTAGTACCTAGTCGTAAGATCTCTGGGGTTGACCCCGCATATCCTTCCCCTGCCTCACCACCTACTACTCAACCGCTCAAACCTACCTCCGTACGATCTTGCCAGATCTTCATTCCCTTGAATTTCAGCAGCTATTTAAAGACATTTCTATGTTTTCTCAACGAGTCAGCAAGTATTCATAGTATTGTTGTAAGTTTGAGGCTCTGGGGAAGGTAATTGCTGTGAATCAGCCAAACCATGTGTAACCACATTGATACATAGATCGTTCAGGTAAGCCATGCATGTGAGAATAGTTTATCATCAGGAAAGCGTAATAGAGTGAATTGGAAAGTAATTGGGCAATGGAAAGCATAGGCTTTAAGATACATACCAAACCAGACGGTGGCTAGTCCAGGACTCACAATAGAATCAAAATGTGAAGCAAGGCCCATGACGCCAAAACCAAAACTACATCGGAAGAGTATCAGAGAAGAGAAATCGAAAGGTGCAGTGCGGGATTGTCAGTCCTTATTATACTTTCATACGAGTATGCATCGGGTTCTTCGTCGAACCAAATGCTACAACACCCTTGTTTCTGTTAGTAAGTCCATGCACGAGATGTTCCGCCAAGGCAGGGAGCTGCAACATGTCCATACGACCATTTTCATCAGGCCATTCATTGTTCTCTAACTCCTAAAGTATGTGGCAGGGGAAGAAATTTCATCCGAGTATTGTGTCTCCTCCTTTCCCTGCTCCCGATATTACCAAAAAAAAAAAAAATACCCAGTCCTGATTTCTTCAAATCTATCTTATGCTCATGACGCCGGCGATGTGCAAACCCGTTATCTACTTTCCAGTATCCCACCCAATATAATTACTGACCGTAACGCGATGCATCACCAACATGATCTTCGATCTCCTTTATTATGGGTATAAAGCCAAATTTCATTACTGCCACTTAAAGTCATCACACCAATTGTTGACAGGCTAAGAGTCTGTTAGTAATCTTTCACGGCTAGTTTGGTAGGGAAAGGTAAACTTACCAAGCAACTGAGATACTTGCACCAGCTGCAGGTAGCCCTTGTAGTGTAGAAGTTGTTGATGAGAACGATGAAGACAACGATGACAAGGACCAAAGCTCCGGCACGAATCAGCCACCACGCCCACCAAAGTGGCTTTCTTCCTTTGAAGAAGCCGACCGGGTTCTTCAAGAAAGGCTGAGCTTCTTGCTCTGAATCGCCTGGGACAGTTGAGTAGGCGGCATCATTGTCGATCTTGAGCCTTAGGGAGTTGGGCGAGTGTAGGACAGAAATGCCCAGGGTCAAACCGCAAAGGAAACCTCCCAAGTGAGCAAAGTTGTCCAGACCAGGCAACAGGCCAAGAACGAAGGAGATGATGACATCGAGCAAAATAAACATCAAATCCTTCACTGGACTCTTTCGCTGTTTCCAGGAGTAGAGCAAGTCGAGCAGGGTAAGGGCCAAGATACCGAAGAGAGCGCCAGACGCACCCGTAGAAGCATCAACGGGCGGTCCATAGTTACCTCCCATGACGAACCCAAAGATACCAGAACTAACGTAGACAATGAAAAAGCGAATGGAACCAATAGCCTTTTCCATATCCCTTGCAAGGGTCAACTGAAGCAACATGTTGAACGCAATGTGAATAATACCCGCATGCATAAACATGGGAGTGATGAAACGGAACCACTGCCTCGGTAGATCTGAGACTACCTCGCCCCATTTAGGTTGACCTCTTGCTGGTTCATTGAAACCACAGGCTTCCCACAAAGGACAGATATTATCCGACGTTGTCGCATTCGGGCAAGGGAAGTTGACCAGTGTGCCTACGGAGGGCCGGTTCCCGTCTGCGATCTCCTTATCCGTTGGCCTCCAATTCTCAATCTCGGGAACAGGGCGCATACAGGGGCCGTAACGTGCACCCATGTTGATCATCACAAACGGCGATGGCCCGATCATAAAGTTAAACTGGGGCTTGATCATAATGGGAGTGCCCGTCAACATGCCTATGCTGAAAGTTAGCAAAATCTGAGATTCATCCAACCGAAGAGAGGCAATGACTTCACGTACCCATTTTGACAAGCTCTGCAATAAAGACGGCCACCTGTGCGATGGTGAAGATATAGACCACGAACGGTATTCTCTTCTTATCGGATCCAAACATGCCTAGCTCGCCCAGCTGCACCTTTCTCTTTCCCTTCTTCTTCCGGCCGGAAGGCCCTCGGGTGGGGGCATCATAGATGTGATCGTTAAATCCGGACTCGGCGTCGTGTTTGTGCGGTCGATCTTGCAGGAGGATGGCGTCTGTAGAGCCTGGGTTTCGGCTTTGATTTGGGGACTCTGCCTGGGCCCCGAAGTACCCAGTATCCTGCGGGTAGTAGCCCTGCTGGTGAGACGACATATCATTTGGCGTGGAAATCAAATCCTGCCTCGAACTGGAGTTTGCAGGGTATGCGTTATCATCGAAGACGGTAGCGAACGGTGATTGCGTGGCGCTACGAGCTGGCAGATCCTGATGGCCGCTGCTGGAATAAGGAGCAGCGCCAGGTGGAGGGTAGTTCGAGTGGTATGACGGTGCAGGTGTCGCTTGCGGCGAGGGCGCGTCGTGCTGGCCGAAATTCGATAACGGCGAAGGAGACTGGTGATTCCGAAGCGGCGGCAGATGCTGCTGGTCGTAGTTGTAGTATTGATTACTGGCCATGATTACGCGCGTGGCTCGAGGCCAAGGAAGCCGGAAATGTGGGTTAGATCCGATGTCTTGCAAAAGTCCTGCAGGACGGGTGCTGCGATAACAAGCCGAGAAGGATAACGGAAATGAGGAAAGAAAAGAAAAAGAAAAACGAAATTAGGACGGCTAGAGCAGTTATGATTCGATTTTGCGAATGTCAGATGCAGCGCACAAGAATGGCTGAGCTGAGCCTCTTCACTAGTCGTCAGGAATGCTTGCTTCTAATCTGAAACATGAAAACGTCAGTCAACCACCCCAGGAGCTATGATTTGCTGACGGGCAGCTATGGAGCGAATGTCGACTGCAGACTAACCGCTAGTGGCGCTGGACGACAGCTGGGGCGTCAATAATACAGCGAGCGAGAAAAGGGGGAGCGTTCAATAACGCGGTTTCCTTATGCCGGACGAAAAAGCGAGAGAATGAAAAGCAGTATCGAGAAAAGAAAGACAGTCGATAGAAGAATCCAGATCGATGCTCCCGCGAACAATAACACCACGAGCAAACCTAAATTCAAGCTGCGATGATCAACAGTAAATGGCGCCCGAGACAAACAGTTACGTACGGAGTAGGCTGGCTCGTATTGCAGCGGGTTGAGGTGGGGCTTCACGGCATGCTGTTGGCCAGCCACAGCTCGTCTAGCCCGCTGTGGCCTAAGGCAATAAGGGTCTGCTGCATCTCAGCCGCTTGTTGCTCCCACCAGCCTCAGTGTGTTCTAACTTTGGAAACACACTCGATGGGTGCGGAGCGGATGACATTACGTAGGCAAGGCACAGCCATTCACGATTATGTCATCTGCCTTGGGCTCGACAGAGGGATGCGAGAATTGTGGGCAAAATAGTTGGCCCCTCTACTGGCTCAACGCTTGAATTTAACCCACAGCTGCGGCAGAGTGGCTGGGTCAGCTACGTTGAGGCAAGGCTGGGGTTCACAGCCTCAAAGGTAGTCGTAATCACATGCGAAGACAAGCCATGCGACCCAAATACCTCGTCGTGTAATATTAGGACGCATACCAACATATGGCTCCGGGTCAATACCGGGAGCTTTCTTAAAATACCCACACCGTCATTAGATATTCATCATAAAACGCGGGGCACCCAAAAGCCCCCGTGATATCAATCTAATTTTCTTTGATTATTGCGTTGTATCCATGTGTTCTTAGAGGATGCAATGGAAGTCACTGCATCAATTCGGTCCCTACACGTAGGTGCTGTGCAGGGATGGTCGGGTGATGTTACGTACGTCATTCAATTGTTGTTGAACTAACGAGGCACCATGGTGTTGTCACATTATACCGATACATTTCATTTCTTCTTTTCTCCTTTCTCCCGCCCCTCCTCTTTTGAACCGATTTGTTCTTTTCACTATATTCCGTAAAATTACATTCGGGCAGTGACCCATTGTCTGAATTGCCAGCATCCACAAGTTGTGAACTTGCCCTTGCTGAGGCTTGGAATCGGATATTTGCCACCAGCGGAGGCAGCTGGACCAATTCTTCATGGTACCCATAAAAGGAGCACACTCCATGTACTCTCCGGTACGTTAGAACAAAATAGTATGTAGAGCCGGTAGTTCAACATAGGCTCCAGGTATTTTATAATACAGGTGTTATACAGCCGTGTGATCTGGCATGAGTTGACGGACCAGAACAGGGTCCCGCCGTTCGGTCATTCCGTCATTCTCACTTCTTCTCAGAAGCCGGAGCCTGGGTTGATTCGCTATCCGTCTTCTTTGGCTGAGGCTTCCAGGTGCCACTCCAGACGTCAGAGATCTGGTCTATGATGATGCCGTAGAGGCCTTTGCCCTCTTCCAGGCTCTTCTGGTGCTCCTCGGCCCGTTTTTGCTGCCAATCAGCGTCTTGACCACCCATCCAGACGTCCTCCACGGCCTTGGCCAGCCCGCTCTTCTGTTGAGCCTCGCTTCCCTGAGTTCCCTTGAGCGCTGCTTCCCGCTGGCGATGCTCTTGTAATAACTGTCGAGTCTTCTTTGCTTCGGCGGGCAGGCCCACGTCGAACAAGGGACTGATGCGATTTTGAAATCGTGTGTAGATTGAAGTACCAGTATACGCATATGCGAGGTAGTTCGTAGAGAGAGAGAAGGTGCCAACAAGGACGAAGAAGCGGAGGTCAACTTTTCGGGGAGGGAGCAGCATCGCAAGGGGAGCAATGACAGCACCGGCTATCGCACCATTGTGGATAAAGGCGAAGCGCTCAGGGAGCGGCCGGTCGGTAGATTCGACGGACATTGTATCAGGCGCAGGATGCACACGCAACGTGAAACTGAAGGAGTGTGTACATAGCATGCGAGCGGCCTAAATTTGGAAGCCATCATCAAAAAAGTTGCGAGCCGTCGTCTTCGGCAGTGCGGATTAACGTTAACCCTAGTCCATAAATAGCTTTGGTGGGGTAGCGCCAAATCAACGATCGGAGGGTTTAGGCATCTGGGACCAATCAAACCTACCGGTTTCCCGAGCTGTCAATCGCCTAGTGAAACAGATATCAAAACCTGGGCTTCGGGATGTGCCACCAACCACTCGAGGACATGGACTCAAGCCTAGGCAGGGGATGGTGGCCAGGGGAACCCCAACGAATAATACGTTTATCCAGACTTCGAGATTGATAGCCCCCGGGGTGTGATTTGTGTACAGGCTGGGACAGCTGCCCGAGGGAACGGCCGCCTTGTGGGATGGGATGGTCCCGCCAGGATGGAACTGTGTCATAGACCAATTCCTGGGAGTCGAAGGGAGGGTTGGATCCGAAGTTGATTTGCCCTGTGCAGAAGGTACCTAATTAATTAATTAACCATCTGGTCCGTCCCTGCGGGACAACACAAAAAAGATCCCCAGGTACCGAAGGCGGGTTTAAGGCGGGTTCGATCGGCCTGCAAATTGCCATCGAAAGGATCAGAGGTCCTTCTGTACGGCATGTCCGTGTCAGTTCATGTACTACGGGGCGGCTGTAATTGTAACCAGCGGGATTTGGACCATGTTCGGACACGAAAGGATTTTGGCTAGCATTCAGCCTTGCACTAATTGTCTGGGCCAGGAGGGGACAGAGCCAGCACCAAACGAGACGCACTACTTGCGGTAGCAGCTTCCGATCTGTAAACCCAGCCCAGAACAAGATGTCAGCACTCGATGCGAAAACTGGAGAGTAAGCACGCCTCAACGACCCTGTATAAGGCTGTTGGCGACTCCCGGATGCCACATGGCCAGCAGTCAGCAGCCGTCCAAACTGCCCACCACGCTTCCAGGTCCACGGAAGTCGCCCCAACTGCCGACCCGGCGAGGAGCTGGCTCTGGCCCTACCAGGGGCCCTCTCAATTGGCTAGCTCGGCAAACGATCCTGTCTCGTCTCAGGCGTGTCCACCTGCCAAGCTTCTTCTGAATCCTTGGTGTCATGTCGTCCTCGTGGCCGCTGGCCGCCCTAAAACGCACGACCCTGCCAGCCGGTCACTAGGGCCTGCTTCCGTGAGGGCGGGCACCCGCAGCCCCAGTCGGCCCAAGTAGGGAGGTAGGCTCGGACGGTGAAGGGTGGGCTCGCTGGAGGGATTGCGCTCTCGCTGGGGCCACCGCGGCTCCCAAGAGGCGCGTGCGGGCTGCGGTTGAAGGATGGTTATGGTTGCTGCTAGGCCGCCGGCGGATTACCAAGCACGGCCTCAGCGAGAAACTCCGCGGGCTGCCTCGCCGAATACCTAGACCTAGACCTGGGCCAAGGCCTGCCTAACGCCTGGCTAGAAAACAGGCATCCCGAGTGCGAGGGCGCCGTTGATCGAGCAAGGGTGGCACTCCGCTGCCCAGGTTCTTAGCCTTCCTCTGCCTATGTCAATAGTCGGGGTGTGTTAAGGCAATCTGGATACACGACTAGTGCATGGTGCTTCATCTCGTTACCCAACGCAAACCCGCCGTGCAGCCTGGCCGCCTCTCCCTACGATCCTGATGATCTGTGGTTGATTTTCCATCCTCAGTAAGGTGTGTCTTCCTTCCATTGAGCGACCGCTAGCCGGCTGTCGCCTGCAGAAACGCTTCTCCATGTTTCTTGTATCAGAAGGGAATCCTTACCCTCATTCGGTACCGTCACCGTCAACCTTAACCGACGTACTAATGACACGGCACTCACACAGACCAACTTCATCGCTGGGGACAGCACCTATTGTATCGTGACCCTCAACCGCTCAGTTCCCCATATAAGCAGTCTGCAACTTCCCACTTTCTCCCGTTGCTCATTGCCTGCCTACTTTGTTTATATGCATGCGCGTCTGACATCTGAACCAGAACTCCACCTCTGCCTTACCACCCAAACACCATGGCTGCCTCCAGCCAGTTCCCGCTGACTAACCCGCCCTCGGAGGAGGACCTGCCCATCAGATCAGCATCGACAACTCCAACGGGGGGGGAGAGATCAAGTCGAAGGAGTAGACCAAAGGTGAAGACGGGATGCAGTAGTTGCAAGTGAGACTTCCCCGCACATCTATACCCCAACCCCAGGTAAATGTTTCAGTCCACTAACCATAACTCGTCTTACACAGACAGAGAAGGATAAAGTGCGATGAGAAGCGTCCGGCATGTTCCCAATGCATCAAGAGCCGGAGAGAATGCACAGGATACCCCCCACCCCCTCGACACGCCTTGCCATTGGAAGGCGTTCGCATAGCTCCCAAACCCGTGGCTATTGCTGCCGAGCCAGTTGTTCCAGAAGCCCCAAAGACTGGTCCAATTCAGAAGTATGTTATCTTACCACCTCGTCGTGTTGCTCGGCGGAATCAGGCTAGATCGACCCCTGAACACTACGGCGCCGTTGAACCGTCTCCTACGCTATACAGACCGGCAAGTGGTTTACCAACCAATGGCTCTGAACCTTACTACTTCGAGATGTTCCGTGTTACTGCCGTATCTTCGTTTTGCGGCTACTTCGACTCGGTCTTCTGGAACAGGGTTCTTCAAGAATGTCATACAGAACCGGCTGTCTGCCACGCATCAGTTGCCTTGGGTGCCCTCTCCAAGACGCTTGAGCAGACATTCAACAATGCTATTCTATCACGACAGAAGGATCCTAGCCAGTCGGAGGCTGTGCTACAACACTGGCAGATGGCTGTCCAGCAGTATTCGAAGGCTTGCAACGCTCTCATGTTTCCTGCTAGTCCCGTACACAACAGAGTCAGACTCATGGCTACCGTTCTCCTTGCCTCCTTTGATGCCTTCATCGGGGACCACAAACAGTCCATTGTGCAAATTCAGAATGGGCTTGGGCTATTAAAGAAGATGCAAGGTGGAGTGGAACAGAAGGAAGCAAAGGACTTTATTGAACCGGAGCTTGTAGTCATGCTCATGCGACAAGCCATCCAAGCGAAAACCTACGACATGGCCTACCACTTCCCAGAGCCCTACGTCCTCCGTTTTGTCCCCGAAGCCTGCGAGGCCTACTCGGCGTCGTTCTTCAAGATGTTTCCGCAACCCGCCGCCAACTCCCAGCCACTCAAGCCATTCACGACACTTGTCGAGGCACAGCTCGCTCACGATCGGATACTTATGCGCGGAATGCAGTTTATCGAGAGCCTGCAGCAGGCGAAGAGCGGGCCGTTGGAGTTCTTCCCCAAAGAGTGGATGGCTCAGGGTGTAGGGATCCAAATAGAGCTTCAGAACTGGACAACCGCCTTCCAGCCCCTTTTCGAGACGCGAGATTTGCCACAAACGAGCGGCTCAGAGAGATCGGCTCTGGCCGTCCTAAAAATGGCACAACTCAACAGCGAAATCGTGTTCAGGGCATTATTTTGCAGCAGCGAGATCGAGTACGACGCCGTAGTGCCCATGTTCAAATCCATCATCAAGCTTGGCCGGGAAATCATCCTCGAGGAGGATGCCCGGGCTGCTGCTGCGGAACTGGCCGCGGATTCCGAGCACCTGCAACAAAGCAACATCGACCCACAGTTGGGGAGGCCTACATCACCCTCAAACTGCCATCTGAAGCCCAGCTTCAGCGTCGACCACGGGATTGTTCCCCCCCTGTTCGTCGTGGCAACAAAGTGTCGGGACCAGGCTATCCGGCGGCAGGCTATCCAGCTGCTACGAGCCAGCGCCAGGCGCGAGGGGATGTGGGACAGCGAGCTGTCGGCCCGGATAGGTCTGTGGATCATGGAGCTGGAGGAGTACCAGGATCCTGCCACATACCAGGGAGGCAGCTTTATTCCTGAAGAACGAAGAGTGACGCTTCACGGGATCGACCTGGATCTCCGCTCGCGAGTCGCGGATCTGAAGATTGGCTCTCGCGGCATGATAGCCGCATCGCAGCAGTTTGACCCTCGGAGGAAATCTACCCGGATCACTTGGTAAGTACAAATATTGATCAAAACACACCGTGATGGAGCAGCCCTGTCCTCTAAAAGGACAAGGCTTGCCTTCGCCCTCCCTAAAGGAGTGGCAACCTAGCATATACTCGGAATCGTTTCCATGTTGGAGAAGAGACAAACGTGAATAACCATCGGACGATTTTAATAGGTCCGGAAATATATATGTACATCATTACAGTAACGCAACTACATGTCTTATAGAAGGTTTCTAAAAAAGTACTTACTTGACGCAAACGCTTTGGTCGGATAATAAGGGGTTGTACATATACAAAAAATAGTTTTTAAGCAATGCAAAACGCGCATGACTATATCTAATTACACGGGGGTATTGGTGAAGACTCTTCTGGGTGATTACAATGGAGGAAGCTCTTCGCGGCAGATGGGACACTGTAGCCTGAACTTGAGCCATCCTTCCAAACAATCGCTATGGAATATGTGCCTACACGGCGTTACCATGTACATGCGTCTGGCAAATGCACCGGCAACACTGCCGGCCTCCTCGCCCGCCTTGAGGACAGGGACTTCAAGGAGTTCCCTGCATATAGCGCAGTCGATGCTTCGAGTATTGGATTCGGAGCCGCGGCGCTTATGGTCGCTGCTACGTCTGCGTTCGAGGCCGCCGTGGTCGTCCACAAGGCCTATAGGCAGGCCACCAGCTTCAAGGTTGTCTTCTCGGAGAACAGGGTGATAGTCCCACGCCTCGGGCGTCCAGCTCTTGGGGACTCCGAAGCGAGGTCCCACGACATCCTGCGCGATGAGGATGACGATCTGGAGCCAGAGCCACCCAACGAGGAAGACGAAGGCACGCGGTTCGGTTCGGGCGTAGAGGAAGTTGTCGGGCTTGACCCAGAAGTAGGCTATGGGGAGAACGCGGAGAACAGACTGACCGGCTACGAACTGCCAGCGCAGGGCGCGGCGGCAGTTGCGCATAACGTTGCGGTAGATCTGGGGCATCCATAGGGAGAGGTAGAGCAGGGCACAAATGTTGAGAAAAGCGGACCGCACCCCGGGGTACCAGGTCGTCGACGATATGGCGAGGAAACTAATGCCAAGACTGAGAAGAACGTAGCGCCCGATGATCGCTTGGAAAGTAGAGAACGCCTCTGCCCGGGTTTGTTGGCCTGCCTGCTGGGCAGTGCCTGCCAGGGGGGCGGCGGCCGCCTCGGCGATTTCAGCATCAATGTCTTGGTCGAATGGCACAATGATTGGTCCCGAGGAGGCAACCTGGGGACGTCCAGCCGTCACAGGAGCGGGCAGGATTGGACCTGAATCCGAGGTCAGTGGGGCTTGAGGTATAGGGGTTGCGGTTGTGGTGACGGGATTGGACGTTTCCCGACGGTTGCGTCCTTCAGGCAGCTGGACCTCGTAGATCTTTGACAAGAAGCTGCCGCCAATCGTCATTGAGAGGAAGGCGGCAAACATAACTGCAAGGGTTGGCAGGAAGGTAGAGGCAGCCGAGGATACCCAGGTGGCTGCCGCAGTAAACGTCATGCCGTCGACGAGGACCATCACACTGACGGTCCCGAAGCTGACCCTGGCCATAGTGGATGGAGTACATGTCTCTGCTAACTGGGATTTCAAGAGAATGACTTGAGCAAAAACCACTAAAGCGTAGATAAGAAGCCAAGATTTAACTTGGTGGAGATGAATTTCCTTCTTCAGCCCGATCAGATGCTTGAAGTCGGATGCAGGGAAATCTGGCGGCCCTTTGGTTTCCAAGAAGAAACTGCAGTCCGGAGAGTAGATAACAGATGATATCTGCAATTCGGGAGCAGTAGGTACTGGGGCGCCTTTGGGGAAGTTGATTTCCGACTCAATTGCTTCAATCATTTCTACCATGTTCAAGCTATCCCTAGAATCACCACCCAAATCTTTTGGACTTGGTGGATGAACCTGGGCATAAAGAACAAGTTCGCAATGCGGAGAAGGATGTTTTGTATAAAGGGGGTTGTCAATATCAGAGCTCCAAGGAGCGGTCTGGTCAACAAACGTGTTCTGCTCCTTTTTAGCCAGAGTATGGTCCACACTCCGATTTAGCAGCAACTGACTGCTCTGAAAGAAGTCAGCACCTGGTGCCAAGTGAGGTAGACCAAATATCCCGTCAAACTTTTCGCTCGTGGTTGTCATGAGAATGACACCCTGTCGAGGCCAGTGAGCCCCCCAGAGCCGCATCTCCCAGTTGATCCCAGTCCCGCTGGTATCTTCGAGAGTGACTGTGCCCTTTATGGAGCGTATCTGGCCACCAGAGAGAGGAGCTTGTTCGGCTGGCAACTGCTCATAGTCTGTGACAGTTTTATTGCCTTCGAGCATGAGCACCATCCTCCCCGACTCTCCAGTAATGTTTCGTGCCCAGTCCACCTGGTCATGTATCCAGTCCATGGAGGGAACGCTGTGGCTGAGATTATAGCTATCGTAGTTCCGCACAACGGATCCTGGTTTGCGTGCCCACTCCCCGTGTAGTGTTCCCGAGGGATTGGACCACGCCGGGTAGCCCTCTCCAATATCCCAAAGCTGCTGAGTTCCCGTGGACATGGCATAGCGGCTCAGGCGCAGTGCTTTTTCGCGAAAAAGTCCAAGGTCTTCCCAAGCAAAGCCATCCTCCTCTCGAAATCCCGTCAAATTCAAATATTTCAGTTCGTCGGTCTCGGTGGGTTCCGCCGTTGCTGGTGCGAAGTCGCCCCATTGCGTCTGATTCAACACATCCAGGGCGCCGCGGAAGCCTTTCAATCGATCGCTCGCGAGATCGGACAAGATGAGTGACTGGGCACCGTAATCAGAATCCGGGAGGATCATCCAAATAAAGAGGACAAATATGATGACCCCCAACGACTGCTGCTGAGAATTCGCCATAATGAAAGGCTAGCACGGCGCCAACGACGACGACGTTGTTTGATGCTGCATGCTACAACGTATTCTGTCTTCCTGGCTGGTTGGCGAACTGCCAGATGAGAGGACCCTGTATCTTCGGTATTAAATCGCGCTTTCCATGGAGAAGCAATGCGCTTGTCGCTTTAGTAAAAGGCGGCAACTGGTATGTTGTCGACCTGGGAAGAAACGGCGTGTCGTCGGATGAGCTTAATGTTGGATTGGAATGGATGGAGCCAGCCAGAGGCTACCGAGCCTTCAATGATACGAACCGGGCTACGGCGGATATTTACCCCTGTCTTGGGGGACTCAGCGCTGACACGAGACGTAGCTCAGTGGGGGGTTGGCGGGGTCGTTAGCTCCAACAGGCTGGTTGTGCCCCTCTAACAGCAGATCCATAGCAGTCCATCTCATGTAAACTGTCAACACCTTGTTGGTAGACCGACGTTCTTGCTATCACACATAGTAACTGAAACCGGCGGAGAGGTCCGATCCTGAACGAAATCTTGGCGACTCGATTTTAGTACACATCCGTGTAGCACTGTCCAGTTTCTTCTTCGTCCTCTTGTTTGACAACAATGGCGTCCAACGACCCCAATTCGAGCACGAATGAGCAGTCTCAGGTGAGAGTCTAGCTACACTCCATGCCTGACCATGATATCGCACTCAATTGCCAGGACCCTCAAGGCTGCCAGCCATGCGACTAACCAAAATGCCCCTACATAGGCCTCGGATGAAGCCCGTCCTGATGTCGCTGCTGCCGTTGATGAACTTCTCAACTCCTTGTCCAACAAATTCGCCAGCGTTTCCTCAGAGATATTTGCCAAGAGTGAGCTGTCTCCTACCCCTTGATTCCTAATCATACTAATGCACCTTGCGAAGTGGACGAAATGTCGAGGAGAATTGACAAGCTCGAGGCAGAGCTAGTAGAGAGCAAAGCGGGCGAAGGTACCCCTTCCAAACCGCAATAGGATGTGGGAAACCCCTGAACTTACAGAGTTGTGTCGTATTGCATCTGATTACGGAATACAACGCTATCACGGGGTCAGGTGTCAGTGATTTGGGATTTATATTGAGATGCAAATAATTTATTTTGTCCATCATTAACTAAACTCTCGCCCAAACAAGGCTCTGAATCTATCCCTTCACCATTATTTGTAGCTCCGACATCTTCCGCGCGGTACTTTACATCCTTCAAAAATCTAGGTATATTTACAGCTCGTCCTTCTGCGCAGGCTTGAGCTTCTCAACGAACAAGCGGAGGACATTCGACTTGCGCTTGAGCTCGTCACGCTTGGAAGCAGCGACGTCGGTCTTGGCCAGAAGACCCTGGAGTCTGGCAAACTCCTTCTGGGCGTAGTTCTCGCTCTCGTTGAGCTTGTCGAAAACGCGGTTGTAGTACTGGGCGTACTTGAGGTCAGCACCCTCCTTGAACTCCTCGGCCTTTGTCTTGACCTCCTTGGAAATCTCAGCAAGGTTGGTGCCAGTCAGCTTGGAGATGATGTTGTCAAGAGCTTCAATGGTGCCAGCACGGTTGTTCAGAGATCCACCAGCGATTCTGTCGGTGCCGGCCTTCTCGTTGATGAACTGGATGAAGTCCTCCTCGGAACGGCCGCCCTGGTAGATCTGGCCCTCCTTGTCTCCGGCGGGGAAGAACTTGATGGTGGGATATCCAGTGACTCCATGTGCCTTGGCAGTCTTCTTTCCACTCGCGGCGTCGGCATCGACCTTGGCAATAACAACGTTCTCGTCACCAACGAAATCGGTCGCAAGGGTCTCCCAGGTAGGGGCGAGGTTCTTGCAGTCTGTAATTGGATTAATATAAACTTCTGTTAAAGTGAAGAGAGTCATTGGAATAACTTACGTCCACACCAGGGAGCAGTGAAAGCGACAAGTACGTTCTGCTTGCCACCAACAGTCTTGTCAAAGTTGGAGTCGTTCAGAATCTCGACGCTGGTAGGCAGTTCAGCCTTCTTTCTGGGCTTGACGCCAGTCTTCTCTGTAATGAAGTTGCTGAGGCTGTCCAGGTCGCGACCGGAGTTGTAGTCCTCGGGCTTGTCACTCTTTCCGTCGAACCACTTGAGTGTAGGGAAGCCCTGGATACCGAAGCGCTTGCCGAGACTCTTCTCAGCATCGGCATCGACCTTGGCGATCTGGACCTTGTCCAAGGCATGACCAAAGTTTTGAGCAAGCTCCTCATATGTGGGAGCAAGCTTCTTGCAGTGGCCGCACCAAGGGGCAAAGAATTCGACGAGTGTGGGCTTGCCGGACTTTAAGACGACCTTGTCGAAGTTGGATGGAACAAGGTCAATGACGACCGAGTTAGCTGCGGCGGCGGCAGCTAGGGCGCCGAACAAGAAGGACTTGACCAACATTGTAAGATAATTATCCGATCAGTAGTTGAAACAATTAGATAATTGGATGAAAGATGTTGGAGAGGAAAAGCAGACACGGTGTTGCCGGCCGCGATACTAATATAATAAAATCGTATCGAGGGTTGGTAATCCGCTTTCAAGTAGTAATCCGTTTTCAAGAAGACAGCTTGTACTGTCTCCAAAAAGAGCTGCATGCAGGAGATCCCTGGCTCCACAAGGGAGGCACGGCCTGGAAACGGCGGTGGAGGGGCATGAGGGGCTAAGGAAAGCGGTGTGGCTGAGGCCTTTGTTTCAGATGGGTCCGGAGGCGTGGCTGAGGAGTGAGATCACGTGTAGATAACATGTCAGCTTCACGTGACTTTCGCGCACACCCAAGTTTGCAGGGCCCGGCTGGGGCTGGCAACCCTCCGATCGGTTGTAGGTACCTCTCGAGAAATTCACACAAAATTTCCCGCCCACTTCCACCACCGCGAAATCAATCAACTTCCCGTCCACCTTTCGACACGACACACAACAATCATGTCTCACGAGAGCGTTTGGAACTCGCGCCCGCGCACCTACGGCAAGGGCGCCCGCAGCTGGTACGAAATAAACCAATTCCCAATGCCAACGAGCAAATCTTGGCCCGTCCACGACAGCCGTGGGGGATCGTCATTTTTTCCATAGCTAACATAACTATTTTCATAGCCGCGTCTGCAAGCACAAGGCCGGTCTTATCCGCAAGTACGAGCTGAACCTTTGCCGTCAGTGCTTCCGTGAGAAGGCCAAGGACATTGGCTTCAACAAGGTCAGAAACCACATCCGATTGAGTCCGCAACTCCTATACTAACCTAGTCTCCAGTACCGATAAACGTGTTTTTAACGAAAGGCGATTCGAGAAGGGGGGGATTGTGATGGATGCACGGTGGGAGTGATGGCTTCGCACAAAAAAAAACCTCGGATGGCGACCGTTTGGAACTGGAGTTTAATGGCTTCCTCATTTTGAGATGATCTCGCGTCTGATGAACATCCTCCGGGGATAGACGAATACCATGGAATTGGAACTTTAAACCTACTCTTCCACTTCAATGGCCTCTCTGTGATTTGCATCCACACCCACATCGACCTCGGGACATGCCACGATCGATTCAATTCTCCCGCTCAGCCAACGAATAAGATGTGAAGTGATGGGTTATATGCGCCAGGGTCAGGCATGCTCCGTCTTGTAGCCGTTGTGTATAAATGGAAGCCATCTTGGCAGCTTCGCAATAATCGATCTCATCCCAGACGTATTCATTATTGTTTGCAACTTTTTTTTGTATTCGTGCTCTCCTTGAGTTCTAAAGTATGTGACAAGAAGCAGAGGGGAGAGGCATTGGTGCTTCAAGCTATATATAAACAAATTGCTAAGTCGAGCGCCTAGCAAATAGGAGACTTGTAATTGTACATGGTTTTAGATATCTTACACAATCTCCCCGGATTTTCTGGACGTCATCAAACATGAAGAACCCTTGACTCATTTACATTAGTTGGTCTCGTTCCTTGTAAACATTTATTTGATAATGCGGGTGATGAGACCAGTGGCAACAGTGCGGCCACCCTCACGGATGTTGAAGCGCTGGCCGGCCTCGATAGCGTTGGGGTGAACCATGGTGAGAACCATCTCAACGTTGTCACCAGGCATGACAGTCTTGCTGGCAGCATCCTCAGTTCCCTCAGGGAAAGACATGTCAACAGACTCATCAGAGGTTCGGAGGTAAAGCTGAGGGCGGTAGTGCTGCTGGAAACCGCTGTGACGGCCTCCTTCTTCCTTGGTAAGGACGTATAGGGAGGCCAGGAACTGGGTGTGGGCCTTGACGCTGCCAGGCTTGGCAACAACCATACCACGGCGGACGTCCTCACGGCGGACACCACGAATGAGCAGACCGGAGTTGTCACCAGCCTGGGACTGGTCGCAAGACTTCTTGAAAGTCTCAATATCGGTAACCTTGGTCTTGATGGTCTCCCCGCCCTTACCAACAATCTCAATTTCCTCATCACGCTTCAGAACACCTCGCTCCACACGTCCGGAGACGACGGTACCACGTCCAGCAATGGAGAAGACTTCCTCAACGGCCATGAGGAAGGGCTTCTCCATGTCACGCTCGGGGGTGGGGATCCACTCATCAACGGCCTTGAGAAGCTCGTCGATCTTCTGGGAACCAATTTCGGGCTTCTGGTTCTGCATGGCCATCAAGGCAGATCCCATGATGACGGGGGTGTTATCACCATCGTAACCGTAAGTGGTGAGGAGCTCACGCATCTCCATCTCGACAAGCTCCAACATTTCAGGGTCATCGACAGCATCGACCTTGTTGACGAAAACGACAATCTTCTGGACACCGACCTGGCGAGCGAGCAGCAAGTGCTCACGGGTCTGGGGCATCTGACCATCTGAAGCAGCAACGACGATGATGGCACCATCCATGTTGGCAGCACCAGTGATCATGTTCTTGATGTAATCGGCGTGACCAGGGCAGTCAACGTGGGAGTAGTGGCGGGCGTCGGTGGCGTACTCGATGTGGGCAGTTGAGATGGTGATACCACGAGCACGCTCCTCAGGAGCCTTGTCAATGGCACCATACTCGAGATAGTTGGCCAGACCCTTCTCAGCCTGGCGCTTGGTGATGGCGGCAGACAAGGTCGTCTAGAGGTGGAAGTGGGAGAGTTAGCCCGCACGTTCCTAAGTTCGAAGCGGCAGCAATGGTTTCCAAATCCTTACCTTTCCGTGATCAACGTGGCCAATGGTACCAATGTTAACATGGGGCTTCGTTCGCTCGAAGACGGCATATGTGCGGTAGACGTTCATAAATCCAGCAGCATTTTGTCTCTTCAGAGCAGACTGGAGAGGGCTAACATTGCCGTTCTTGAGGCCGTGGCGAGCCGTGCGCAGAAAAGGCGCAATTGATCTGAACGCTGCCGACATTGTGACAAGTGTCCGAATTAGAATGAATTAAGGGTATCTAGAAAGCAAGCAACGAGGGAGGAACGGAAATTGGCGTCCCAGAAGAGAAGGGTCGGTGGTGGTGGTGGATGTTTGAGATGGTCTTGTAAGGCAAACCAACCAAAATTTTACGGCGAGTCTGGTACGTACCAGCCCTGAAGTCTCAATGCCAATGACAGGGGCTGTAGAGGTGGTCGTTCAATGGCTTTTACTGGAGCCGTCATAGGTCAGCAAGGACAGCTCTATCATCACGTGATGCTATCCATTGCTCCTGATGAACATTCCTACGTCCACGCCACGACGATACGAAGTCATGGAGGAGATGAGGTAATTCAATTGGTAAAGTATCTTGTGTAAAGTTCTGGTCTTCTTTTTCTTTGATCCAAGAACAATGGCTGTATGCTTTCGTTCATCAAGGCGCTACTGCCGGCACGATATTTCGCTGAACAAATGAGGTACTCAAAGCGTCCAATGAAACCAGACCGGTAGCCGTGGGTAGTGGACAGGTATTCAGCGCTAACACTTGCGCGGCGCTCATACCTTCTAGAACAACGCGATTACATTGAATCAAAGTCCACTTTCGGGGGGGCCGGGCAATCAGAGCTGGCGCGAAAAAACTTTAAGGGCATCGACATCTGGTCTCTCTATGACCTGGCAACGATCCCCCAAAATATCTCTCATTTCCCTCCTGCAATAACTCCAATCTCATATTGCGCCTTCAATTCCCTCGTCATCTCAGAAGTCACACAGCGACTCAATCAAATTCCCTCAATAACTACATCTGTCCTGTGTTCGTCGCAGAGCCGCTAGCAACTGCTTCTGGACCAACAACGGCCCAAACGCAAAGTCATCCCATCTTCATCTCACAAACTTTGCAATTTGCGCATCATGGATTCCCCGTCAGAAACTCAACAGTCTGAGCAGGACAACCTCAATGACTTCGGCCGCATCACCCTGCAGGTGGCCAAGTATGGACAGAATATGTCAAACAATTTGCACTCAACATTTGCGAATATGACTATTCAAGGTTGGATCCGGCTTATTGTGATTGTGGGCGGCTACATGCTTATCCGCCCCTATGCCCTCAAATACCTGGGTAAGAGACAGTTCGAAAGCATGGAGGAGCAAGAACGCAAGGACAGGGAAGAGGAGGAGAAGAGGGGAGCCAAGATCTCACCAAACCAGCTGCGTGGACAGAACGGGGCTGCTGTCAACCTGGACGAAGATGAGGATGAGTTTTTTGAGGAGGACGAGGGCCAGTCTTCCGCAACCAAATGGGGCCAGAAGGCCAGACTCAGACAAAGAAAAATGATCAAAGAGCTGATGGAAAGAGAGGAGAGGAGGTTACAAGACGAGAAGGATGACAAGGACATTGAAGATTTGCTGGAAGACTAGAGCAAACCGCTGCATAACATCGGCCTGAGCCTTTCTGGAACTCGCCTATCAACCAGTCCTCCAGCCAAAACGAGCCTATCTGCAGCATACTTAACTCCACTAGAAATTAATGCAACTTGATGCGCAACATCCGGAAAGATGAGCCGGGAGACAGTTACATTGGCACAGGCAGTAATATTCCTTCTCTCCACACCGAGACCACCTGAGATAGCTGGCTCGAGAGCGTTCCATCGCAGTAGCGATCGGGCCATGAAGATGCACATCTCCAAATCAAATCAATGAACGCACTCAACATGCAGAAGATACATGTCTCAATCCAATGAATGAGCGAACTCCCCTCCTACCTCAACGACCTCCTACTCCACGCCGGTTTGCAAGCAGGCGCTTACGCATAAAGCCAATATCGGCCTCAGCTTGGGCAGATTTGGACAAGACAAACATTCCACGCAATCTGTTCAGCGCAATGCCACCATCTGTGGATGTAAGTCTGCATGGTGGTGGGGTCGCAGCCCTGTTTCTATGATAAATCATACAGCAACGGAGGGGCTAACAGCAAGAGTCAATGACAGAAGAATTTAGCATCGCAGTAATGAACAAAACACTTTCTGCGATAATGAGAAAAATGAACGATAAGAAAGAATGGAAAGTGACAATTGTCCCTTGAATGGGTGCTCATTATTACCTAGTTCTCAGTAACATAATAACGCCACGCCCCGGCTCGAAAATGAGCAGGATGCTATTAATGTTGAAGTGTAGGAATGTACCAATTCCAATGCCACTCAGTTGGCAGTGCAGTGCCTCGATAGTGCATATGTAGCGAGCAGAGCAAGATTTTAGGCCTGAGTCGACATGACGGTGGTGGCAACAGCAGCAATCTAGGCAGACAACCAGGCTACTTGGACGGCCTTGTCTTGCCTATTCGGGTTGTGTGGTTGCGTAGTCCGTGTTGCTTTCGCAGCTCCCTAGACACCAACACCTTTGCTTATATCATGTGAAGAACAAGAGCCCCATTTTCGCCAAGGTTCCCTCAGCTTCTCAGAAGGCACTAGAGAGGAGGCGGCAAGTCGTCGCGCACGGAAGAAAAAAAGGGTAGCCATGTCCCTGGAGGCTACAGGTGGCACTGATACTTTACCTACCTGTACACAGCTACCTGTATGCAGGTGCTTTATGAAACAATTGAAGCACCCAATGAACAACAGCCGGCCAAGGCACTGCCTAGCTGCAAAGGGGGAGGGTTCCATTGCGTTAATCCGCAGCAGTGCCTGTACCTGGAGAAGAGACGCTGCTGGGACGTTGGGTGGGCGGGGAACTTGCAGCGTATCGAAGTCGGGCGTCAACCAAGGAACGATGTCATCTTTGACCGAGATCCACCATCATGCCCACCCAGCTCCAACGCCTGTTTTAAGGTCGCCGCGCCAATCCCAGGCCCTCTCCCCTCTGCAGCATTCAATCAGTACAATTTGCTTTTCGTCAAAACATTCGACTGCGCATTGCTCTTGGTCCTTGCTGCTCTTGTTTCCTTTGTGACTACCGTGCTCTGTTTCCTGCATAACGCGCCCGATACCTTGCCAGCCTTACCAGGGCAGGGATTGCCGCCCGCTGCCTTCTCCCACCACCTGCGAATTATTAGGCTGCGTCATTCCCACCCGCGCACACTCTGGGTCAACCTCGAGGAAAGCCCTTTCACCACAACCACCAAACATCCGGCCGCCTCCGCCTCTGCGCGGTGCTTTGGTTGCCTCGAAGATCCATTTCTTCGCCCAGACTTGCCAATTTGGACTTGAATCCTTCGTGTCATGGTTTACCTGACTTCAAACCCAACTGAAGAAGGTGCATGATGAACGAACACCAGGACATTGGGTCTATGATGCAGGCGGGCTACTTTGTGTCTTCGCGATCCAAGCACACCCATTCGTAAGGCTTCCATCCCCCAACCTTGGCTACCCAAATACAAAGGAATTCTAACCAAGACACTAGTCCATCTCGATCGTTGACCCCTCCATTATCGCCAAGGCTGTCACGTTCCCCCCAGCGCGACTATCGACGTACAGAGTTACCAGCGTACAGAACGTCACAGATCCGACCCCCACCACCCTCCGTTGAGGATGAGGTAGACTCGTTAGCCCGCGAATATGGCTCTGTGAGTCTTTCCTCCAACCCTAAGGAAGAGCCAGTATCTCGAGGCGATGTGGAACAATACCCCGTAATACTCGAAGTCCACGAACACAACCCGGAACGGCGTTTCGTCATCGTTCCCAACTCTAGCTCTGTATCTGATTCTAAGAAGTCGGAGGGAGACAGTTCAGACCACGAGCGACAAGGAAAGGATAGCTCGGGCGAATGGTCTTGTGATGAGGCAAGCTCCACACATAAACATGGCCCTGAACGCAGTGAAAGACGTCGAGAGAAGAATGAAAGCATCGACACTGGAAGGCGAGCTAAATCGAGACCACGCGTGCCAGATCCAGAACCTCGGCAAAGACGAGATCCTGAAACAATTCGAACGTCTCCAACCGCCAGGCAGGAGAGATTCGATCCCCGCGTGCCAGATTCAGAACCTAGGCAAAGACGAGATCCTGAAACAATTCGAACGTCTCCTACCAGGCAGGAGAGATTCGATCCACGCGATCGCCAAGAGCACCCACCTCCAGTGGACAGCACCAGAAATGGTCAAAGAGGACGAGACTTTGCCGATTCTGGCCTTGGAATCTCGACATCCAGTCCCAACAAGACAAGGCCTAGACGAAATTCAAGTGTAATAGATGATCGCCGCCGCGAAAGAAGGGGGCGAAGAGACAGCATCAGCCCTTCAAGAGGCAGCCGCCCTATCTTGCATATTGACCCAAGAAGCTCGGACAGCCGCTTGTCAAATGAACCCGATGGCCCTCGTTATAGAGGCGAGCCTCAATCAGCCCGGTTCCCGCCATCTGCTTACAAACGAAGCGACATGGAGTCGAGGTCTGCAGACCCCCCCAGACGGCGGGATGACAGCAGCCGGGTCGAAGGAGAACCCAGACCTAAGCCTAAGGAAAGCACAGCGCGTGGGGATGACACTCGATCTAGCGACGAACACGGAGTTCCAACATCGCGGCGCCATCGACGGGATTCTTCCTCAGTACCACCTCAAGACATAGAATCGACGCTTGGCCCCGAACAGCCACCCAGGGACTGGGATCGATCTCGCTCTCGCGGACCTCCGGTACCTCCGCATATTGTTCCAATTTCTCCAGAGATCCTCACGAATTTCGCCCCCAAGCCTTCATCTACATTCCCCATCACAAAAGATGAGCGGGCCCTACCATACCCAGATGATGACGATACGATGATGAATCCCCAGATCCCTCAAAGCGCCATAGAGCCAAGAGCGCATGCCATTCCACCAATATCTATGCCAGAATTCCCACCTGTGGTGTCAATGCCCGAAGAACCAAGCTTTGAAAAGCCAAGTCTCGATAAGCCAAAAGCAGTTTCACCAGCAAATCCGTCTTCATCGTGGCAGGTACCTGCGTTTGACCCGGAACGAGACCGCCATCCAGCTGAATCAGATATGGGATCGTACCGGCGATATTCTGAAGGTCGGACAGGCGATAAAGTTCCCTCACTGCTCCCAGAATGTCCCCGCAAGAAACCTAAAGCAGGGAAAACGGACTGGCTTACTCTGCCTCGTTCCAACTTCAATTGCTGTCCGAGCTGTTACGAAGGCGTCTTTGCCAATACGGAGTGTCGAACACTTTTCCAGCCAATGCTTCGCCCCACGGATAAAGCGATTTCTTGTGACTTTGGCTCAAGCCCGTGGTATCGAATCGCCTGGCTCCTCACGCTGAAATATGGCTGGCCAGACTTGCAACTTTTCCACGAGATTGACGACGTGGCAGTCTCTCGCAGCCAAGCCTGCCCCGGAGATCGAAAAGCTTTACGAAACTGGCTCACAATCAGAGACCCAAAGAAGAGGCGACTGCTGTCGAACTTCACGGTCTGCTATCAATGTGCTAAGACTGTCGAAGTACTTCTTCCGAATCTCAGTAATGTTTTTGTGCCGGTGGACTCGCGGTCGGAGCCTTCCTATGGAGTTTGTGCTCTCCGTTACACGCCTCGGCGGAAACGGTTCGCACATTACTTCGATACCTTCGAGACAACGTCGGATAAGGCACTAAAAGCTAAAACAACTCCAGATCTCTCGTCGCTTGCATCAAAGATTGAGCGACTATCCATGGTGGAAGAGTGTCGAGAGGACAGCCCAGTCCCCAATGCGTATTGGCATTTTATGCAATTCTTGCCACAGTTCACAGTATGTTTGGAGTGTTTTGATGAGGTAGTCCGGCCACAACTCAGCGACGACAACATCATTGCCAGGAATTTTTATCGAGAGCCAGAAAAACTCGAGGTGGCTACATGCCAATTATACTCGGAAAGGATGAGAGAGGTTTTTCGGAAAGCCTGTCGACGAAATGATCCCAAATACTTAGAGGCGAAAGTACTTGAAAGACAGGAAGTGGAAGCAGATATTCACGGCCAGCTCATGGAACTAGATCGGTCCGGCCACTATGATGACTATGTACAGGAAAAGGTAGACCGATTGATTCGGGAATGGAGCAAGTGGGAATAGGTTTAAAAAGAGTTGGCTTACCATGTATCGTTATACCCCATCATTTGCTTTCATGTCCCTAGAACGATTATTATTCAGCACAGGAATTAAGATAATATTTATGTTTCTACAGTATAATCTCTAAGACGCTATGATACTCCAAGTGGCCCCCACACCCCTTTAATAAATAAGTGGGGGTTAGCTCCAGCAACCGGGTGACATAGGACATTGCACACGCAAATCATTGGCATTTTCAATCCTCAGTCCAACAGCTGAATCCGATCAAAATAGCAAATTAAAACTATAAAGTAATTCTTAGAGGTCCAAATATTAAACTATTGTCTTTAATGAGGGTATATTGTATATTTATTGCTGGGTTATTAGACTATAAAGGTGAAGGGTTTGGCGATCAAAGTACCATTTGGTGTGCAATGTCTTATGTCACCCACTTGCTCCAGCTGCCAACCCACGTCATACCTAACCACTCTCTAGGTAGTTTTGAAAGACGGCTTTCACATTCATCCCTTCAAACCTGCACACCGTGAAGTCACAATGCAGCAGCTTCCGGATGACCTCGTCGATTTATTCCATCTATATTGCCCCGTGCCTCTCACTGAGAAATGGGCAAGTTGGACGAACGAGTGGGCACAGTCCGACTTCAACATCCTGATGACCCCAAGGAGAGCGATACCACGGATAAGGCTCACAACCCTCAAAATCCTGACGATCCCGACGACAGCAATGTCACGGATGTGGCTGAAAACTCTCAAGACTCCCAAGCCTCTAAAACCATTACTACCTCAACCCGGGCTTGGTCACCTCTCACCTCCGCACAGATATTTATCTGGCTTGCGATCCTAATTAATATGGGAATTTCCCCAAAGAGATCACTTGCAGACCATTGGAAAACCTCGCAAGTTGGGGATATTCAACCATCCGACCCCTTCATCAAATACATGACATTTCATCGGTTCAAGGAAATTCTCAAGTATCTCCGTATCTTCCCCCCTTTTGAGAAGATTGAGGATGATAGTGAACGAATGACATTTCGGGTTCGTGAGTGGTCTGACCACATAAAAACCACCTCAACATCCCTCTTCACCGGCAACGAGCTCCAAGACGCTGCCCAACGTAAGAAAACCGAGAGCATTACAAAGAATCGCCGTAAAACAATCGCCTATACCAGCAATTCTCTCGTGACAACGACCACAACGACCACCTGGGCGGCGTCGATATTCGTGACCATCTCAGGAAAGATATCGGCTATCACCATCGCTACCGTCGAGGAACTTGGCAGGCCGTGGCCTGGAGCTTCCTCCTTGACACGGTGCTTGTTAACACGTACATTTTACAGCGCGAATCGAACTTTCCTTATTGGCGGAACCGCGATCAAGTAGAGTGGCGCCGTATGCTTGCGAACGGCCTGATCCGTAAGTATGCCAAAGCCGCAGCTTCACGTAAGAATGGCTGGCCTGGCGACGAATTCTCGCCTATATCGCAGCATAACCATGTCAAGCTTGAGAAAAAAGGTCGGTGCCGGGCTTGTAGAGGGGATAGATTAGGGGATGTTATTACAGGACGCTCAAAAAGGCCGCCTTTGGCAAAATCGGTCAGGCAGAGCAAATACGGCTGTAGCGTGTGTAATATTAACATATGTACTGGTTCAAATTGCTGGTACATATGGCACCAGCCAATTGCTCATAGAAATTGATGTGTCTCTCATCGTTTCAGCGGAGCTGGAGGAGCATTTGTAACGTCTATGGGATATAGTTTAAATCAAACCTCCTTGCTAGTCTATGCCCAGTCTAGTCACTTAACATGATATTATTGGTTGTGAAAGCTCTTGATCTCGAGGGCCACAACTAATCACCGGCACTTGGTTCGCCAACAGCACTCATTTTAAGCGTCCAGGCAACTATGTGGCATTGAAATCTATGAAACAAAGTCTAATCCTCTTTGTTTCCTGAGCTGTGACAGGCAAGTATTCATCATTCATTAGAGGCTAAAACTAGAAAGATAAACAAGTGATGCCTTTCATATCATTGATTTTTTTGGGGGGGGGGATTCGTCATTATTTTATTCCGGTCATTGCAGATAGCCTCTGCTTATGGCTCTTATCAATCTGGTGTCACTTTTCTTCCGTCAGTCAGAATGATAGAAGATATCGCTGCACTTTTACTGAAGGGCACCCCTGTCGTAACTGTGGGTCGGGTGATTGAGGGGCAGTCACGTGAACTAGCCCACAAAGTGCCATTCCTGGCATGTACCGCAAAGGTTAGGGTCGGTCTCCGCCCACCAAAAAGTGCAGCAAAAATTCCCTGGTGAAATTTATCGTGCGCCCCGTTGCCAAAATTCATCCTTCCTCAACAACCAACTTCGACGCCGCCCAACGACCGAGGTAGGACTTCATGCCATTGTGCCTCAACTTTGATAACTCGAGCAAGACATACTAACAGAGTATTTCCTTCCAGGTCCAAGTCCCACATTCACAATGGCTTCGCGACCTACCGTCTCGATCATCGGCAAAGATGGTACTCCCACGGGAGCTACCCACCCCATTCCTGCTGTCTTCTCCAGCCCTATCCGACCGGATATCGTCCAGCAGGTTCACACTGGTATCGCCAAGAACAAGCGCCAGCCATACTCCGTGAGCGAGAAGGCCGGTCACCAGACCTCTGCTGAGTCTTGGGGAACTGGTTAGTGCTTCTTTTTTTTCTTCGTCGACCGGGGGAGGATTTGTGGCATGGGGTTTTTGTGGTTGATTAGCACCAGCAATGGTGTCTAGTCAATTCAGATGAAACCAACCGGGCTTGTTTAACTTGGAAACGGCGACTTTGATATCAGGAACAAGATCTAACAACCTCACTTATAGGACGTGCTGTTGCCCGTATCCCCCGTGTCTCTGGTGGTGGTACCCACCGTGCTGGTCAGGCCGCCTTCGGTAACATGTGCCGTTCCGGTCGCATGTTCGCCCCTACCAAGATCTGGCGCAAGTGGCACGTCAAGGTCAACCAGGGCCAGAAGTGAGTGGAAACCCAGAGAGCCATTGGATCGAGTGGGGAAGTTTTGAAGACGAAAAAAACTGACTGATTTACGCATAAAGGCGTTACGCTACCGTCTCTGCCCTGGCTGCCTCCGCTGCCGCTCCTCTTCTGCTCGCCCGCGGCCACCAGATCATGAGCATCCCTGAGGTTCCCCTCGTCGTCGACTCTGCCGTCTTCGAGGCCGGTGCTGGTGCCAAGACCGCCAGCTCCCTGGCTGTCCTCAAGGCCGTCGGTGCCGGACCTGACCTGGACAAGGTCAAGGCCTCCAAGAAGCTCCGCGCCGGTAAGGGTAAGCTCCGTGGCCGCCGCCACCGCCAGCGCCGCGGCCCTCTCGTCGTCTACGACGCCGCCGTCGACGGCAAGGAGCTCATCAAGGGCTTCCGCAACATCCCCGGTGTCGAGACCAGCCCCGTCTCCGCCCTCAACCTTCTCCAGCTCGCCCCCGGTGGTCACCTCGGCCGCTTCGTCATCTGGACCTCCGCCGCCTTCAAGGCTCTAGACGAGATCTACGGCTCCACCACCGAGCCCTCCGCCCACAAGCGCGACTTCCTCCTCCCCTCCAACGTCGTCTCCCAGGCCGATCTCACCCGTCTCATCAACAGCTCTGAAATCCAGAGCTCCCTCAACGCCCCCAAGGGTGAGGCCGTCACTCGCCGCTCTGCTGTCCAGAAGAAGAACCCTCTGCGCAACAAGCAGGTCATGCTGCGCCTGAACCCCTACGCTTCTGTCTTCGCCAAGGACGCTCAGAAGAAGCAGGAGTAAAAAAAAATTTCAACTTACTGGCTGGGTGTGCAGAAGTAGGTTTCGGTGGCACTCTTTGAAGTGTTTGGACGGATTTGTTTGGTTTGGTATTGAGGCGCAATGGCTTCTGGAGGATTTAAAACTCATAAATGAATCAGAAGATTTCAATCATACCCGATTTGTCCAAAGAAATCCACGGTGCATTCCATGACACAATATTCGTAGCAAGCATAGAATGATGTGTTGACTAGTCTACTCTATGGCACCCAAGTAATGGTCCCACCCAGTTTATGATATCCAAGTGAAACAAACAAGTGATGTCGTTCCTTAATAAAAAAAAACCCTAGCACCCAGCCATAAGACCGAGGTTGCCCATGCCTTGCTCAAGCTGCTCTACACTCTCGGTGTCCAGCTTCGCAGCCAGCTTCTTGATCTCCGCCACGCTCTTGATCCTCCAAAATTTCTGGATACCAGTTGCATATCTCGTTGCACACGGCCCAAGAACGTCCTCATCCTCGGCCGCAAAACATAAGCGGGAATACTTCCAGGTTCTCTCCCGTTGAATCTCGGCAGTGGCGCCAAACATGGCACCAGGGGCGGCAAGGACGAGATATGGCTTCTGAGATAGGAATATCATGAGAGCCTTGGCCAGCAATGGGCCATCGACCAAGACACCGGCATCTCCGCCTATCGCTTCTCCACGCGCCTGCCACAACGGATGGTTCTCGAAATGGATACGAACCCAGATAAACATACCACCTTTTGGCCAGTTGAAGGATAACAGCCGAGTCTTGGTGATCACACCCCATTCGGTATCAGAATCACGAACTGGGGTAGATTGCTTGAGCTCAAAGGAGTGCTCATCAAGGATAGTGGACATCTGAGCCATGCGACCCTCATAAACACCGCGAAGGCCAGCGAGCCATCGGACCCAGCCATCCATACTCCAGCCCTCGAACGAGGCCTTCTCTTTGGAGGACAGTGCGTGGAAGCGTCTAGTTGTTGCTTCAGGCTGCTGGCCCATGATGGCTTCAGCTACCAGTGACTGAACAAAGCCAGAGGGTTGCTGTGTGCTTGTTTCTGTGATTCTACAATTTGTTAGATGGCCAGGTATAGTCTCAGGGGATCTGATGGGGTCGGGGCTACATACCGAAGGAAACGCTCAATAAAGGCAGGTTGAGCTGTGATCCAGCCAAGACGGCAGCCTGGAGCGATGGTCTTGGAAAATGTGTCGACACGAATAACACGGCCCTCGGTATCCAGATTAAGGGAGGAAGGGACCAGCGAGTCCAGGAATTCGTATCCGGTAGACTTGGATAGGCCATGAGCTTTCTCTTGCGATGGTGCCCGGCCGTCTCTGTCTACGCGATATTGGAGATTCCAATATGGCTCGTCCTCGATGAGAATAATATCATACTTGCAGCAGAGAGCGTAAATGGCCTTTCGTCTTTCGAGTGACTGGAGTCCACCGGTTGGGTTGTGGCCCGTTCTGTGATGGGACGGTTAATACGAACTCGGCGGCATCCGCACGGGGGAAGTATGACTCACGTCACAGAGTAGATGAAATGAGGCAGTCGGCCTTTGCTGTAATCCCAGTTCTCAAGGACATCCTTCAAACCGCCTGGGCCATCGACACTCATGCCTTCCGAATCTACCTCCACGGGGACGACCTGCACTCCCCTAGGAAGCGCCGTATTGGGGGCATTCATGTACACATATGTTTCACACAACATGCCTGGGCGATCCTCCACGGGGTCCCGGCCAGCAACCCACGGCTCGACGATCAACTCCACGGCCTTGGAGAAACCATCGGTGGCGCCAGTGGTGAGGATGACCTCCGGCCCGTCGAGATAGGGCACATTTGGATGGAGGTGGTTACGTATGAACTGACGAACAAATGAGAGCAGCGGCGGGTAGCCACCTGCAGTGCCATACTGCAGTGCTGTCGCCAGGTCAATTTTCTTTGAAAGGTCGACCTGATCATCCTTGGCAGGGATTACGAAATGGGATGCGGCATGCTTTGGCGCCGCAGCCAAGCCATTCTTGTTCACCTCGATAGGCCATCTATTAGGTAGTGCTACCTGAGCCTCGAGAGTGTCATAGGGAAAGAGGCCAGGGTTAGGCAAGCCTACAGTGTATTGGGTCAGAGGAAATCAATTCAACGGGTGTGACAAAATTGAAGTAGGTACCTCCAGCAAGATTCCCAACACCAGGGATCTGGAAGAATTTGTAGAGCTGCTTGACAGCACTCGCCCCTCGGTTCTTGGTCGACTGGGAAAAGTGGTGGCTGAGGTCGCGTGGAGGAGAGAGACCAGCAGCCTGAGACATTGCCGGTGGCGGCGCCATGTTGATTGGCAGGTACAGCGCAGTTCAGCCCTAAACTCTTATTGGTGGCGTTGGCTGGATCCTAACGGTCTTGCATAAATACGCTGCAGCTTGGACGGGGACCATTCAACAACGGATTCACAAGATTGCTGGAGAGGATCACAAAGAGGCCGGCCACTAGACAAGCAATAATATTATCTCTCTGGTGAGGGATAGGCAGTCGGAGATCTGGCGTGGGAGGGCAGATAGGGACCCCGAGCCGGTCTAGGCGGGCCAGGGTCCAGATGTGCAACGGTCCCTGCCAATGCCGTTTCGCCAACTGCGAGCCTGTTCCTGACAAATCCAAATCGGAGCCTCCCAGATACGGGCAAATGTGGTGAGGGGCTATCTACTCATTCTGGTGCAGATGGCGTAATGACTTCGGACTTGCGGACTTGGTGCCATTCGCGCCCTACCAAGTGGACCAGCTCCCCAGATCGCCAAGGCTTTGGATCTTACTAGCCTACCCTAGACCGCAGTCTGTTCCAAAGCGATGTTGGATTCCGCTACAAGCAAGCGAAAACCTGCCAGCAAAACGAGAAAATAACGTCTGGGGTAGTAGCATGGATTCTGTCAGAATGTGATCCCTTGCTTCCAACCAATGGTTGGGCCTCAGATGTTGATAATATGACACAAAGCCATTCGCGTTGTTCCAACTCACCAGCTGCTATCCAGATATGAATCTTTGCGTTAAATACCCATAGCAAGCAGTAACAAAAACCAGTCCGTTCCAGTCGTGACGAACAATTACTATTGCGTAGCAATCCCGCTATCGATCCGCAAGGGATCAGACACCAAATGAGCTCCATGTCAAGCGTTTCAACTCTCACTAGGCCTATTTTTGTAGTCATAGCTAGGTTTTTGTACGGTAGGAATATTTTCATTAACAAATCCCACTTGCTGATTGCAGATCCGCAGGTTATATTTCAACTGATACCTGACCTGTTGTTCAACTGCAGAAGCTCGGAACGCACCATAATTCCCAAGGCCAAGTCACAAGTTCGGGTATTTCTCCAGTCACGAATGCTTCATAAATACTAGGTAGGCAAACTGAGCTTGAACGCCTAACCACTCGGTTCTGGAGAATGGAGAAACTGGTTGATCTTTCCGCATCGATTGGAGTTGAAGCTAGGATTAGATGAAAGCAAACCTACAATTGTTGCTTATTCAACTGAATAGTTATTTACCTAGTCAGCAATAACCATGCCCGGCGATACAATAATGGTAAGCTTGATGTGAGATAGTGCCTATCCTACTCAGTTGGAGCATAATGTGATCAGCGGCTGACGGTACTTAGGGCCATTTAAACTCTTTCACCAGGTCATAGCTGTCTTCCACACCGAGGCCCACCGAAGGTGTGAAGCTAGCAGGCGCCAGCTAAACTCCACTTTCCTTTGTGCTTCCCACCAACATGAACTGCTCATTTAAAGTGCTGGAACTGATCGAGCACCTCGACGCGTAAATCGCAAGATGCGATATCCACCTTTTGAAATACACCGCGCTTGAGGCTTCTTACATTTCTTCTGCGGATTGCGCTCCGTCATAATCTATTGAGCAAGGGTTCTGGTGAGGTCACGACCTATGATAGCTATCCGTTGACAGTACGCGACGGTCCGTCAACATGGAGAACGGCGGTCTCGAGCCCGATCTTTCAGAGGCGGTCGTCCCTACGCCCATCGCGCAGCTCCAGCCAGATCTTTCAGATATCGCATCACACATTGTCGATGGTGAGGTGACCATCACATGGCCATTCAGCATTGTCACCAAATCCATCGCCTTCAAGCTCGCCGAACACGATTTCCTGCTGCGACGCAACAAAGGCCAGGTACGAGTGGAATTTCATGGCGCTGCGGGAAAGGCGGTCGCCGCGACTGGGATTGGAGGTGGTGATAAGGTTCGGCTCAGTTTGGCCGGTGTTGAATGGACTGAGGGAGCTCCTGCATCGACGCGACCAGACACGCTTCAATGGCAGATGAACTTCTCGAGTAGGCTGCGCATGCGGGTTCGCAGGACAGACAGCCAGGAAGAAGAAATCATTAGCGTCGACTCCTCCGAGAGCATCGATAACGATCCGCCATTGACTGAACTCACAGCGCCTTCAGTTTCCGAACCCGAACACTCGATTCCAATCCCAATCGACACGCCCCCAAAGTCTGCAATTTATCCACGAGACGGGCTTGAAGTACCCTTGACCGGAAAGCGTCAGGTTTCGGAAGCTTTCGACGCAGACGAATATGCATCTCCTGCTTTCTTGAAACGTGCTAGAATTTCATATGGATCACTGTTCGAGGGTGGTTTCGATATATTTAACGAGCACGATGATAATGTACCGAGCAAGGAAAGGGATAAAAAGCGGCCGCGCTTCAGCATGAATGCCAATTGGAAATACACGAGTCGTACCCCCAGCCCCGAGCCTGAACATTCGCCCGAGGTCGAACCTGAACCACTGGCAGGAAACAAGGATACCCATGATGCTCTTATGGAAACGCCATCACGGCTCCAAGTGGTAGGCAAAGAAGAACAAGATGGGAGTACCAAAGCTTCAGCCTCGCCTGTTCCGTCAAAAGCTACTGAAACAAGAGTTTTATCGTCTCAAAGAGCTTCGACCCCCAATTCACCTTGCATACCAAGAACGGAACCCGAGGAAGAGCCACAAG